AAGTTGAATTTTTTTTCCCCCATTGTAATTTAATTTTGTAATATTTTTCAATATTTTATTTATTGATTTTTTTTAAATATTTGTTACTTTTTATTGCTTTGTAATTAAAAGATATTAATTAAAGTTTGAAAATATGGCAACATTCAACGGCATGTGAAACAACTGTTTATTGTTTTGATGCAATTTGGCGCTACAACTTTTATTTAATTTCGATATTTTATCTCTCCAAATTTTTAAGTGGCCAATTATTTTACGATATGCTCCTCCACCTTTATTTCGTCCTTTAAATAATGTACACGATAAATTTTCAAAAAATATATATATATATATATATATTTTATGTAGCTTCATTATTGTTCTTTCATAATTTTTATTTGAATTTTTCACTGTTAAGCGGCTTATCAGACAAAATTGGCTATGTGGTTTTTCGATAATTTTTCCTTTAAATTTGCTGGGTGACCTTGTTAATAGATCTTGGTTAGATCCATACAAAAGTAACGTTCCGTCTCTGATTCCCGACTTAAAAATGACAGAAAGTAACCTGGCTAGGGTAACATTTTGTCATTAAGGGGACCCCCCCATTCTCGGGGTCAAATTTTTTTTCGATTTAATTCGAATCTAGACTAATTCAAGAATGTCCCTACAAAATTTCAAGTGAAAATCTCAAGAACTCTTGAAGTTATAGCCGATTTATTGTGTCAGCATCAAGTGACGGCTAAAGGGCTTCTCAAACTTTAAACGCGTTTTTCTCTTTTGCGAATGGCGGGCACGATAACTCAAAAACTAATAACCCAATCGACTTCAAATTTTTACACGTTTCTCTGTGAGTGTATAGCTATCGTATGAACTAGGATAAAGCCAATCGGTGAAGATCTTCCTTATTTTTTAACTTTGTTTTTGGTCAAAAATCGGCGATTTTCCAAAAATATTTTTTCAAAGGTCCGCCATTTTGTTAATTTTAGATCGAAGTCAATAATCCTAGTTCATACGAGAGCCAGACATGCACTCTTTCTAACACCGTTGGAATTTTCGGATTCCGATGTTTCTGTGCGGAGTTATCATGCCCGCCATCAAAAATAAGGACTTTTCTTTAATCACAAAAAACAACAACAAGACAACAACAAAAATTTATATATAAAAGAGCTTAGTGTTAAGTGAATTGAGTGAGTGAGTGAGTGACTGACAGATCATCGCCCAGACGAAACGGCTAAAGCTAGAAGCTTGAAATTTTGAGTGTGGGTTGGTGTTGGTGTGTAGGCGTGAGATAAGGCTGGGTTTTTGGAAATTCGAACTAGAAGGGTACGAAAAGTACTAAAATGTACCAAATATGGTACCCTTTGTATTAGGCGAACGGGAAGAGCTAGAATTCTGAAATTTGGAATGTGGGTCACTGATGTAAAGTTAGGAAGATGTACAAAAGCGTTTTTGGAAATTCGTACTAGAACGGTACGAAAAGTACTAAAAAGTACTAAATGTGATACCATTTGTATTTGGCGAACCGGTAGAGCTAGAACTCTGAAATTTGGATTGGTGGTCTCTGAGTGTAGGATAGATGTACCAACGGGTTTTTGGAAATTCGAACTATAAATATCCGAAAAGTACTAAAATGTACTTAATTTTGTACAATTTCGTAGCATGTGAATTGATAGAGCTAAAAACATGAAATTTGGAATGCGAATTAGGGATGAGATGTAGAGTCCATTTAAGGAGATGGTTTTGGAAGCGTGTACTCATGTGTACGAAAAGTACTATATGGTACTATATTTGGTACAAATTTAATTTGGAGATACAAATCGAGCTGGAATCCTGAAATTTGAAATTAACATTACCGTCGGAGTGTAGGACTGGTAATGTACGTAGTTTTGGAATTTTTTACCAGTTTCAGTAATTTATATGGGTACTAAATGGTACTAAATTTGGTACAATTTGAATTTTATGCGAACCAATAGAGCTAGAATCATGAAATTTGGAGTCAGGATCACTGTTGGGGTGTAAGATCGAGATATGTAGGAAGTTTTAAAAATTTTTACTAATGTGTACTAAATTTGGTACAATTTGAATTGTGGGTGAACCGACAGAGTTGGAATCCTAAATCTTGGATTTAGGATCACTCTGGGGGTGAAAGTTTGGGTTAAGTGGGACGTTTTGGAAATTCGTACTACTGTGTACTAAATTTGGTACAATTTGAATTGTGAGTGAACCGAAAGAGTTGTAATTCTGAAACTTGGATTTAGCATCTCTGTTTTTGGTAAGTAAGAAGTTTTCGAAATTCGTACTACTGTGTACTAAATATCGTACAATTTGAACTGTAGGTGAACCGAAAGAGTTGGAATCCTAAAACTTGGATTTAGGATCACTGTGGGGGTGTAGGATTGGGGTATTTAGGAAGTTTTGGAAATTGGTACTACTATGTACTAAATTTGGTACAATTTGAATTGTGGGTGAACCGATAGAGCTGGAATCCTGAAACTTTGTGTTAGGATCACTGTGGTGGTGTAGGATTGGGGTATGTAGGAAGTTTTGGAAATTCGTACTACAGTGTACTAAATTTGGTACACATTGAATTGTGGATGAACCGATAGAGTTGGAATCCTGAAACTTGGATTTAGGATCACTGTGGGGGTGTAGGATTGGGGTATGTAGGAAGTTTTGGAAATTGGTACTACTATGTACTAAATTTTGTACAATTTGAATTGAGGGTGAACCGATGGAGTTGGAATCCTGAAACTTGGATATAGGATCACTGTGGGGGTGTAGGATTGGGGTCTGTAGGAAGTTTTGGAAATTCATACTACTGTGTACTAAATTTGGTACAATTTGAATTGAGGGTGAACCGATAGAGTTGGAATCCTGAAACTTGGATTTAGGATCACTGTGAGGGTGTAGGATTGGGGTCTGTAGGAAGTTTTGGAAATTCGTACTACAGTGTACTAAATTTGGTACAAATTGAATTGTGAGTGAACCGATAGAGTTGTAATCCTGAAACTTGGATTTAGAGACACTGTGGGGTTGTAGGGTTAGGGTAAGTTGGAGGTTTTGGAAATTCATACTACTGTGTACTAAATTTGGTACAATTTGGATTGTGAGTGAACCGATAGCGTTGGAATTCTGAAACTTGGAATTAGGATCACTTGGAGTGTAGGTTTAGGTTAAGTAGGAAGTTTTGGAAATTCGTACTACAGTGTACTAAATTTGGTACAAATTGAATTGTGGATGAACCGATAGAGTTGGAATTCTGAAACTTGGATTTAGGATAACTGTGGGGGTGTGGGTTTAGTAAGAAGTATTGGAAATTCGTACTACTCTGTACTAAATTTGGTACATTTAAATTTGAATTTGGAATCATTATGAGGGTGTAGGATCGAGGTATGCAGGAAGTTTTGTTGGAAGTAGAAGGGTACGAAAAGTACTAAAATGTACCAAATATGGTACCCTTTTTATTAGCGAACGTGAAGACCTAGAATTCTGAAATTTGGAATGTTGGTCACTAATGGAAAGTTAGAAAGATGTGCAAAAGGGTTTTTGGAAATTCGACCTATAAGTGTACTAAAGGTACTAAACTTTACTGAATTTAGTTCCTATTGTATATATATTGAACATATATAGCTGGAATCTTGACATTTTAAATGGAATACAGGTTGGGAAGTGGTGTTGATGTACGGAAATGGTTTAAGACATTCGTACTTATGTGTATAAAAGTGTAAAATGGTACTAAATTCCGTACTAAGTACTCTCAGTTGAGTGTGTAGAGATGGAATCGTGATAATCGGAATTAGCTTTAAAAAATCGTACTTATTTGTACGAAAAGTACTAAATGGTACTAAATTTGGTGGAAGTTGGATTTAGGTGAACAGATAGAGCTGAAGTCTTCAAATTGGGAATTAAAATGACTGTTGGAGTGTAGGACTGAGGTAGATTATGAAATTCGTACTTATTGGTACGAAAGGTATATGTGGTACTAAATTTAGTACAATTTGGATGTTGCTTGAAAGGATAGAACTGAAAACCTGAAATTTGGAATTAAGATTTCTGTTGAAGATTGAGCTATAGCGACATCTTTGGAAACTCGTATTTATGTGTACGAAAAGTACTAAACGGCACTAGATGGATTTGGGTGAACGGAGAGAGCTGGAAACCCATAATTTGGACTAATGGTTGATGTTTGAATACAGAATTGAGATATGGAAGCATATTACCTATGTGTACTAAATAGTACTATATTTGGTACAACTTGATTACGTGTGAACGGATAGAGCTGGACTCCCGAATTTTTTAATTAAAATTACTGTTGAAGTGTAGTATTGAGCTATGGAGACAACTTTGTAAACTCGAATTTATGTGTACCAATAGTAAATAGAATAGAAAATTCGCTAAATTTTGAATAATTTGAATTTTGGTAACGGAGAGAGCTGGAAACCTAAAATTTAGAATGTTGGTCATTGACAGAGAGTTAGAAAGAAGGACCAAAGGGTTTTTGGTACTAAATTTAGTGGAGGTGACGGTATAGAGGTAGTCTTGAAAATGTATAATTATGTGTTCGAAAAGTTCTAAATGGAATTAAATGTGGAACCTGTACGTTTTTGCTAATGTGTGGATTTCGGAAAATAGTGCTTATGTGTATGAAGAGTACTTAATGGTAATAAACTTGATATTAAATGTACGAATAGAGGTGGAATTCAGAACTATAGTACAACGATTTCCATATGAAATATTTTTTTATTCCTGTTCCGCATACGAAGTAGCGGGTACTTTGCTAGTTTATTTTATAAATGACCTTGGACCGGATAGTCCACCCTCGGCAAATCTTTTCGAATTAATAAATTGAGGAAGTAACATTTCTCAAGACGATACATACTTTATTGGATTTAAAATAATTTTTTAGATATGCTGCATATGAAAAAAAAACTAATGACATAACGTAAATAAATAATACAAAAAAAAAATAAATAGGTAAAAAATAATATTATTTTTTTTTAATAATAAAATATTTTTTGATTCAGGCTCGGATGACGAAGAACAGGTAGGACAAGAACAAGTAGATCCAATGCCCTCTAATTACAATTACATATTTTCAAAAACAAAAACAACATTTTAAATAAAGCACACATGGTGTGTAATTCTATATACATACATATGTAATTATGTATAGTATATATGTATATTTATAACTTACAACTAGAATTGACTAGGATCTATACCTAATTCCAATAACGTTTTATCTAAACGTTGACTAGCCTTTTTCAAATGTTCCAATATTTTCGTATTCTTCGCAATATTATCATATTGTGCTATGGATAATGGCTTTAGGTGGGCAGTGCATTGTTTCAAATGTTCCCGCAATGATCCCTCAAATATAATATCACATTCCAAGCATTGTACTTTGGTGGTGGCGAAGGGCATCTTAATGCGATGTATGAAATCCAAATGCTGCAGCATTCTCGATTTACTGGATTTCGTTTTCTGACACAGATTACATTTCAAATAGCTCTGATGTGGCATATGTTGAAAGTAGTGTCGTTGCAGGTCGACGTGTTTGGTAGTTTTTTGTACCTGATAACAGGATAAACAGAGATACGATGATGTCCTGGGCGCATTCAATGGATGGAACTTCGTTTTAATGGCATTGGCCAAATTGTGATCATCGAAAACGTGATTACGCCAATCGGGTTGATTGTCGAATTCCTTGAGACACTCCGGGCACAAGTAGTTAATGTATTTTTGCATTTCACGTCTTTGTAATTCGGCAATTGTGTTGTTGTTGCTGTCGTTCTCGTCGATTTTAAAACGTTTCTCGGGGCATTCATTTTCTTCGGGCAGTTCTTCAAACATTTCCAGGCAAATTGCTTCCAAATCGTTGTCATCGAATTCTTCATAGTTATTTACAATGGCAATTTCACTCTCCGCCTCCTCTTGTTCTTGTTCCAAATCTATACAACTTTCGGCTAAGGCTTTTTGTAAAATATCATTCACCCTGGTGGGTGCTATAGTTGTACAAAACGAAGACGACCTCTGTAGGTCGTTGACATCCGGTTTAGGAACTTTGGAATGTATTTTCCTTTCAATCACCTCTGGCCTCTCATCGGCCATAAAAATTTGTATTTGCCTCAATGTCATTGCCCTGGCCGGACCAGCCCATTCATTGGGTGGACATATGTATTTTTTATTTTTCAAAAATTCCCCTCTATGGTAACGAATGAAATGCAGGAATAAATCCGTTTTAAACGACTTTTGGGTGACACAAAATGCACACTGAAAGTATGCAGAGTAGGGTAGATGACTAAAGCGATGACGTCGCAGCTGATCCTTGGTGGGTCCATTCTTCAAAGTCAGCGAACAATCACTACAATAATAATCACGCGTGTGAATGATGCGATGCATATTAAGGGCTTCCGATGTGCCCACATGATCCATATCAATGTGTTCCAGCCACTCGTTGAAACGTTGAAATAATTTGCCACACTGTGGACAAATGAAACGCATAAAGAACTCTCGGTTGAATCGAGGATGTCGCAAGGTTATGGCCTGGCGCATTTTCTCCATTTTATATTCATTGTCCAGTTTATTCATCCGCTGACTGTGGCAACGAAACAAATGCACCGATAGCGCCCGTTTTTTGACATACGTCCCAGCACAATAACGACACTTGAACGGCCCACCATAACTCAAGTGTGAGAAACGATGATTCTGCAGCACCACCAACGAATGTAGACCATGAGTGAGACGTTTCAAGCAAATTTGGCATTCATGGTATTTATTGTCGATGATGCGGAAACCAAAATCCGTGGCTGTCTTATTATTGTAGTCATGCACGGTGTTTAGATGTTGACGCCATTCATGTTGACTATCTGTCGTTTGGCCACATTCGGGACAAACAAAAATCATATGGCGTTCCATGGCCAAGGTTTTGTCCACCGCACCAGCTGCTGTAGCAGCGGCAGCAATTGTTTTGGTTTCAGTCATTGCTGGAGATTGAAATTTTTGTTGTCGTTGTTGGTTTGACTTCTTTGGGAGTGATTTCTTTTTTTTAGGATACTCGGGATTTTGTTATTCCTCTGGGTTATGTTGCCTCTTACATGTTTACAAACAAACTGAAAAAGGATACTAACTTCTACTACGATGACAGCGGGTGGTGGACACCACCCTCCACCCCCTCTTTAGCAGAAAGCAAATGTCAATTGTTGTCATGTAACAACTAACTACCCCATAAATAACGGTAAGCGGCAAAATAAAAATAAGGGTTGCCATTTACACACATTACACTTTCTACGGGGTTGGAAATTGCAATCCAGTCACTTGCAATGTGCAATGACTCTATTTTTTATTATTTTGAAATTGTACTCAGTAATTTCAAGTGGTTCTTCAGTCCTTTGAGATTCAAATTTTTGGGAGTCAAGGGGACGTTACATCTTATATTTATAAGGTTTAGAGGCAGGGAACTTCAAAATATTTATAAATATAAATTAATTAGCAGTTTTTGTCACTGAACACATGATATGCGAACATTTCGAAGGAAAATATTTTCATTTAAATTTTGAAAGCTGAATACTGTCAATGGCAAATGTTTCCTTATAATATTTCACATGATTGACAACATTACACATCGAATTCAAGTAGAATTTACGCACTTTGACAGTTAATCGAGACATCAGCTGATCTAAATGGATTACCTATTCATTGTGCCATGGTTACATTCATACAAAAGTAACTTTCCGTCTCTGATTCCCGGCTTAAAAAATTCAGAAAGTTCTAGGGTTAACACTTGTCATTAAATATTTAGGCAAAATCCTCTCCAAAAATTCAAAAATCAGATATTTTTTTTCACTTTTCAAATGATGATCATCCCCTAGCAGTGTGCGGTCACTCAGCATATGTTTTTCATCCCCATTTGTAAGACTTCTAAACCATGGTAGCACACTCGCCCCAAATAAAATGACCATTACGTTTCAACCACCCTTAAGCAAATGCATGCCAGAAGCTTGACTTTTTAATTTTGGATGCAAAAAAAAAATGAAATACCCTCTACATTAAGATTCCATAAGGTTGAAGTTGGACTCTGCGGTTCTGAGTCCAACTTCAACCGTAGTCAAATAGTCAAATAGACTTGATGAATAGATTCTGCGAAAATTCAACCCATACACATATCATTCGGTAATTTTTAAATGTTTAAAGGGTTTACAAACGTATCCTTTAAAATAAACTGTCACATAAAAAGTTATATATTTTTGAACATACGAATGAATTTCGAAATAGCCGGACTTCTTACCTTCCATAAAACACCAATTTTATTACAATGCCTCCAGCAGTTCAAAAGTTATGGCACAAATACCAAAATATTCAATTTTTTCCCTTTCGCTATTTCAATCTACTGCAATAATAGATGGCGTCGATGTCGCCAAATTGTGTGGTCGTTACGAACTATGAATTTTGGAAGATTTAAACGGTTATGTGCAGCTTGGAATTTACTGATTGTCTGTGTGGTAAAATACATTTAAAATACCGATCATAATTTGGTAAATTTTGCTAAAAAAATAATACCAAAAATTATTAGAATGCTTTCTATGCACTTTGTGCAGACAAGCAAATTTTATATATAATTGATAGGATGGACGGATGGGCACCATCTTCGAACCTGATTCAAATAATACGACGATGAGCAGAGTTTGGGTCAATTTGGACATTCTATTCGCTTAATATTGGATTTATAAAAAATGTAATATTTTGACACTTTGTGGGGAATATACCAGAAGGAGAGAACCAATGGATTTCATTCCCATCCTCAGATGCAGGATTGATAAAAATATTGGATGGATGCATTTTAAAGAATAATAAAGGCATGAATTTTAAAAATATTTTTATCAAGACTAGTATAAAAACATTCCTAAATTATATTTATATATAGCTTCAAATTGCATTTATCGAAATAAATGAATACTAAAATAAGGATATAAATCACTTTTTGTATTTTTCAATTAAAAAAAAACGAAATAAATTTATTCTAAAAAAAAGTAATAAAAATTCACATACAATATTTATGCTATAGATTGGTGGCCGGCTTCCTTTAACATATTATCCAAACGCTCACTGGCCGTCTTTAAATGTTCCAATAATCGTTGATTTTCAGCAATATTACATTTCACCTTCGGCAAAGGTTTTAAATTTTTCGGGCACACACGACAGTGGGTGCGATAACGAGCCAACGTCGTATACGATTTATCACATTGTAGGCACGGATATTTCTTGGCAAGTTTTCTCATCTGCTCAGCATTCAGTTCTCGCCGGGCATGCATTAAATGTACATAGTCCATGTGTTGGACCATTTTCGGTTTACTCGATTTCGTTTTACTACAAATGATACATTTCAAATACGACTGAAAGGGCATATGTTGAAAATGATGACGTCGCAAATCGGCATGTTTGGATGTCTTCAGAATTTGATGGCACACCAGACATAAATACATTGTCTTCAGACTATTAAGTGGACGGAATTTCGCCTGTACAGCATTTATCAGATTGTGGGCCTCGTAGACGTGAGAACGCCAAGTGATTTGATCGTTGAATTCATTACCACACTCCGGGCATAGGTAGTGTATGTATTTTTGCATTTGTTTGGTCAGATTGAAATTATCCGTTAACAATCCGTTGGAATCTGGAATTTCTTCAAACATTTCCTGGCATATGGATTCCAAATCCTGTTCACTTATATCGGAAAATTGTATAGTCGTCGTTTTACTTCTATTGTTAGAGAGCGGTGTTCTGTTGTTATGGGGCACAACAATGCCAGAATTCAGACTTTGATCCAATGCCATTTCGTGATTAAATTTCGATGCATGATCAGAATTACCTTCATCCTCCAAGTTAATGTCAAGCAGGGCCTTCTGTAATATATCACTTTTGGGCTGAGCTTCTCCCAAGAGACGTTGAATTTCTGTTATGGTATTTCTATCCGCGCAACCACCCCATTCATCGGGTATAACAATGTACTTTTTATATTTAAAAAATTCCCTTGTGTGATATTTCATAAAATGGAGCAGTAACTCCGTTTTGTATTCCTTGCGGCTGTAACAAAATGCACACTGGAAGTAGGAGGGGTATGGTAAATGGCTAAAATGATGTCTTTGCAACTGGCTACGACTGGGGCCGTCCTTCAGGGTAAACGAACATGTACTACAATAATAATTATTCGTACCAGTTATACGATTCATTTTCAAGTCTACCGATGTACTGGGATGTGCTGAATCCAAATGTAACAACCAAATGTGATAACGTTCAAACAATTTGCCGCATAAGGGACACAGGAAACGTATGTAGAATTCCTTGTTTATGCATGGATCTCGCAAGGGATTTTTAATGTCATTTCCACTATTTGAGCTTTGCACAATTGCTCCCTTATTCACCAATGCCGCGTGGTTACGATGCAGATGATCAATCAGCGACCGTTTTCGATAAAATGACCCACGACAATGTTTACAGCGATAGATTTTTGGATATGGCAAATGATTGAAACGATGATACTGCAATACCGCAGGAGTTTGATGGCCATTGGGTATCCATTTGAGACAAATTTGACATTCATGATGATTGCTATCAATTTCTTTGAAATTAAAATCACTGGATGTTTTATGGGCATAGCCATGGATGTTGTTGATGTGTCTTCGCCATTCAACTTGTGTGGTACTATGTTTGCCACATTCCGGACACAGAAATATCATGTGTTTCTCCAAAGCGTTGTCGTTAAGTTGTGCGGCGGTGGCCATTTTGTAGTAAAAAATAATTTATTTTAATTATTTTGGCGTTTGATATAAACATTAATTAGTTCACAATGAAATTAATTGTCCACTAATCGAAATAAAAAACGTTCCAAATCAAACGAATAGCTATAATGGGTAGTAATACCGGATAAAGAATAAAATCACAACAAAATCACTGATATGCTTATTGTTTACAGCGAACGAGTGTGTGTGTGATGTAGAAAGGCTGAGAGTTGTATAGAAAGGGAAAAGGAAGAAATAGAAACCAGGTGATAGTCTTATGAATTCCAATCAGAACTAATTCCGCTCCACAATTTAATTGCCGGCCAGAGATGGGAAATTGAGAATAGCTATACAATATAATATACAATATATTGTTTCCCTGAATATGATAAATAACCTATTTCCACTCTTAATTACGATTTCCACAATCGACTTCTTCAGACAAATTCTGCGGCGCAATTTTTTCAAATGATTGGAACTTCGCCACAACGAGAGCATATGAAACTGTCGTCTTTAGACTACACTATCGTCTTTAGACCTACTCAACTGATGCTCCAATTTGTAAAGTGCCTACCCTTATAATAGCCAACTGCCTCAATTGGCCATAAATCGTAAAATAAATAAATCGTAATTGTAAATAGTAAAATTGTATGCAAAGGCTATCGAACTATACCCCATCAATTATATTTTGCAGATTTAGACGCGTTTACTAATCATACGACCATGATAGGAACTGCAATGTTCATATTTAACCCAATGGACATGCCTTTCGAAGGGTTAAATGACATACGGCGTTGGTGTAGATACGCCCTAAAAATGTTACCGTTCTTACATTTTCCGAAAAATATGCAACTCTGTTACTAAAAGTAACGGTACATTTGCACATTTTATTTGTTTATTTTATTGTGTGTCGTTTATTGAATTATTTTTTATTAAAATTATTATTTTTTATTTTAAATATTTCTTGTTTATGTAAAATTTATCGTTTTTAAAAAATGAACCCTGATACATACGATTTAAATGAAAATGCCATTACCACACTCATGATGATGCCAAATGAAAAGTCACCAAACCCCACCGGCGGTAAACGGGGCAAAGAAAAAGAATCTGACAAGAAGAAACTAACCCTGGTGCAGGGTATAAAACAAATTTATTTCGAATATTGTGCCAACACTTCCATACATGGTGTACAATATTTGGGTGAACGACGTCCCTGGAAGGAGAAACTGTTTTGGGTTTCGGTGTTCTTTGTTTCGATTTGCTGCTGCACAAATTTAATACAAAATATCTATGAGAAATGGACGGAGACACCGGTGATAGTGAGTTTTTCGGAAAAATCAACACCAGTCTGGAGTATACCATTTCCGGCGGTTACCATATGTTCGGAAACAAAGCGAACTGTGAGGAAAGATGGTAAGTGAACTCCTTTTCGATATTATGAACATTAATAAAATAATTATTTTTCGTAGTTCCAACCTATATGCAGCTGCTAAATAAATTAAAAACCGAAGGTAATGATTTTCGACCAAACATCAACTCAACTGAATTCCAAGAATTCCTTACCCTTTTGCACATTTGTAATACCCAAATAATTGATGATCGTATGCAACGTTTGTCACAAACCCCACTCGATTATATTGGTATACTAAATGAAATGCTACCGGAATTTAGTCGACATTATTTCTATTGTAAATGGTTTAGTCACTTTTGTGAATGTAATCAATTGTTTACCAAATCCTATACGGAGGAAGGAGTCTGCTATACCTTTAATGGTTTAAATGGTACAGATCTGTATCGTGAAAACACGGTACAATATCAACAAATGGGTTTGGAAAGTACGGTGAAATATTCGGATATTGTAAATCGTACACTGAGTTGGTCATTGGAACAGGGCTATTCGTTGAACAGTGGTCTACACACATATCCCGCCAGGGTGTTGAGTGCTGGTGCCCGTGCTGGGCTATTTATTGTTTTGCAAAGTTTTAAAGAAGAACTCGATTATGGTTGTCGTGGTCCCATACAGGGATTTAAAGTTTTACTCCATTCACCCGATGATGTACCCTTGGTATCCAAACAATTTGTACGCATACCAATGGGTAAGGAAATTTTAATTGCCGTCAAACCCAATATGATAACCACTTCAGCAGGTATTGCAGAATATGAACCGAATCGTCGTCAATGTTATATGACCAAAGAAAGATCGCTAAAATTCTTTAAAGTTTATTCCCAAAACAACTGTGAGCTGGAATGTTTGGCCAATTATACGCTGAAAAAATGTGGTTGTGTTAAATTTTCAATGCCACGTACACCCGACACCCCTGTCTGTGGTGAAGATAAAATCCATTGTTACGACCGTGCTGAGGATAGCCTTTTGCTAAAAGAATTCACCGAAGGTCTGAAGGACATTCTAATGGAAGATCGTTTGGAAACCGAATGCAATTGTATGCCAGCATGTACTGCCTTGGAATATAATACGGAAATTTCTCAGGCAAATTTTGATTTGTCCGATATGTTGGAGGCAACTGGAAATTTAGATTATTTGCAAGACAATCCTGGAGCACAAATGTCGCGGTTATCGATTTATTTTAAAGAAAATCAATTTATTACCTCAAAACGATCTGAGTTATATGGTGTAACGGATTTTCTTGCCAATTGTGGTGGTATTTTTGGTTTATTTATGGGATTTTCTATATTGAGTATGGTTGAAATGATTTATCACTTTTCATTGCGTTTATGGTCGAATATGAGGCATCAAAATAAATAGGGGTTTTATTAGTAAATATATTTATATAAAATTATGTTCTTTTATTTTTTTAAACAACTAATATATATTTTTAAATTTTGTCTATGTTAAATATTTAATTTTTTTAATTTTATAACAATTTATTATCATTTGATTTTATTGGTTATGTTTTACTATATTTATTTACTTATTACTTTTTTTGTTTTTTCTTTGTTACATATTTCTATATTACCATTGTTAAATATTTTTAAATTTAAAATTTTATTTTTTTATTAACAGAAATTTTTATAAAAAATTAAATTTGTGTTTTCTTGTGAAAACACTTTATTTAATTTTACACTTCAGAAAATTATATAAAAATTAAATGTTTGTTTTCTTGTGAAAATATTACCATTTTATTTGTTTTTTGTTTTATTTTATTTCGAAAATGTTATACTGTTGTAAATTTGTAATAAACCATATTTTTATATATAAGTGCACAAGCTTTGTAATCATATCTTTTTTAATATTTCTTGTTATATCAAATATATTTGTATGTAAAATAATTATGTTGTTTTATTCAGGATTCTTAAAAATAATTTTCTCAAGAACCACCACAAATATAGGCTAGCATTTTTTTACCCTTCACCACACTGTGGTACATTTATCATCCGATTTGGATGAAATTTGGAACAGCTCATATATTTGGCACAAGGACGAACCCTACTGAAATTGGGAAACATCGGTTCAGATTTAGATATAGCTCCCATATATAATTACGTCCGATTTATGGTAAATGGTGCAACAAAGTCCCTAAATATCTTTCGATATGCACGAAACTTTCGTGAAAATCGGTTCAGATTTAGATATACCTCCCATATATATAGGGGAGAGGGGGGCACCTTTGAACACTTTTTTCTTTCAAGCCTCATAAAATGTTTTTTTATAATTTTTGGTTTCTTATAAGTTTTAACTAATAGGTACATATGTACTGTTTTAATGGACGAACTCAAAGTGTTCAAAACTGCCCCCCCAGGGGGGCACCTTTGAACAAGGCTTGACATTTTTGAACGACATGGATTTTTACAGTGTTTATGTTCAAATATGTATGTATTTTATTAATACATATCAGAAATGCATTAATTCATTAAAAAATATATAAAAAATTTTCAAAATTTTAAAAATTTAGATCAAAAGTTATTAAAACATAAAATGACTTAAAAACAAAAATTAATATGGTGAAAAATACAGTTAATTTCGTAATCTTATTAACCGATTTGAAATTTTGAGAAATCGAAGCCAAAAGTTAAAAACTTATGTTTTTACTCGAGTTTAATGGGCATGTTCAAAGGTGCCCCACCCATGGCATTTTACGGAAATTTAAAATAACTTTTTTTGTAATAAATATATATGAAAGAAAATACATAAGTTATGTTTGAAATGATTGTTGGAATGCAAAAAATTTGTTTGACGAAAGAAAACTATCACATAATTCTTCCTGCGCCCTTACAACCAAATGAATAAAAGTTTACAATCACACTGAGAAAACATGGTCACCCATGCACAAATTTTCAACAACTGAAAAAGCAAGCCAAAGTGGTTTACGCATATAGAGAACAAGATTGCCATATACAAAAATGTGGTTGCAGGTCGGAAAAATATTAAACCAAGATTTTATGAGCGCTGTTCAAAGGTGCCCCACGTTCAAAGGTGCCCCCCTCTCCCCTATATATTTTCGTCCGATTTAATGTAAATGGTGCACCCTAAATATTTTTCGATATGCACGAAATTTGGCACAACGTATTGAATTAAGTCTGGAATGGTGTGTGTTAAGTTTCGTGAAAATCGGTTATGATTAAGATTAATTTTCGTCCGATTTAAGGTAAATGGTGCACCAAAGTCCCTAAATATCTTTCGATTTGCACGAAATTTGGCATAGCGTACTGAATTGAGTCAAAAATGATGTGTACTAAGTTTCGTGAAAGTTGGTTCAGATTTAGATATAGCTTCCATATATATTTTCGTCCGATTTAAGGTAAATGGTGCGCCAAAGACCCTAAATATCTTTCGATTTGCACTAAATTTGGCACAGCGTTTTTAATTAAGTCTGAAATGATGTGTGTTAAGTTTCGTGAAAATCGGTTCAGATTTAGATTAATTTTCGTCCGATTTAAGGTAAATGGTGCGCCAAAGTCCCTAAATATCTCTCGATTTGCACGAAATTCGGCATAGAGTACTGTATTTGGCCTAGAATGACGTACGTGAAGTTTCGTAAAAATCTGTTCAGATTTAGATATAGCTCCCAAACATATTTTCGTCCGATTTATATGTCTTTCGTTCAATTTCATGTCAATGTTCGTTTGAAAAGGCGACGTCTGTTAGGTGACTATGAAGAATATACACAAAGTGGTGAAGGTTATTGTCGGCCCATTCCGACTTTACTACTTTCCTTACCGATTTAAGAATATTTTTTCAGCACAATAGGCGTGGTTTTTTAAGGGAATATTTTATTAGGCACCATCACAACTACAGACTTGGATTTTTAAAGAATATTTTATTAGGAACCACCAGAAATATAGGCGTGGATTTTTTAAATATTTTCATGGGCACCACAAATAAATAGATGCGTGGATTTTTTAAAGAATATTTTATTAGGAACCTCCACAAATAAGGCGTGGAATGTTTAAAGAATATTTTATTATGAACCACCTCAAATATAGGCGTGGATTTCCTAAAGAATATTTTATTAGGAACCACCTCAAATATAGTCATGGATTTTTAAAGAATATTTCTCAGGAAAAAACCCCTAATATAAACGTGGAGTTTTTAAAGAAATCACCCCAAGAATAGGCTTGCATTTTTAAAGATTTTCTCATGAGCCACCACAAATATAAGCGTGGATTTTTTTAAGAATATTTTATTAGGAACCACCATTAATATAGGCGTAGAGTTTTTAAAGAATATTTTATTAGGAACCACCACAAATATAGGCGTATAGAACTTCTAAAGATGTTCAATAGACATATAATAAAATTCGCACCACATTAATTGCGTTTCTCTTTATTTGATAGAAAAATTATTCTCCATGGAGTCTGGTCTATTTTCTTAATTTCATTCTCTTGATTACAAAAACAATTCAACAAAAATGTACAAAACAACATTAGACGACTAGTAAATAAAACGGGTGCGGTGAATATTAGCTTTATTGCCAAATTATTGCAAATTCTATGATTAGTATTCTATTGTATTCCGAGCGTAACAGAATATAAGACCGTAAAAATATAATAAAATTGCAGATGTCGGATCTGATGGTATTCATTTCTGTGTTAAAGTTTTAAAAGTATATCGTGTTTCAAGGTAATTGTGAGAAAACATAATACAGATTCTAGACGAATTTTTGTAAAAAAAATATTGAATACAAATATGCTTATTGAATACAAATATGTGAAGTGTTCTGTATTGTACTCTACATGTGTCCAATATTAATGTAAACAATTCAATTAGCCATTAATCTAAGGGTAATAAAATTATAGAAAGTTTTTAATTGAGTATGACGTTTTGATATACCGTTCATCATAAGGTGGAGTTAAATTTGTCATTCCGTTAATAACATTTCGAAATATTCACCGTAGACCCCATAATCTTGATCAGAATAGAATTCTATATCCATATTGGCTCTAATTTAATATATTGGCTTATCAGTGGGTGTCAAAATTTCCTATCCAAACTTATAAATTTATGTCTGTTGTCGTTTTGGTATAGCCCCATATAACTGTACCCCTAATTTAAAATGTTAAGGATTTTGGTATTTGGTACAAAATGTGTACATAAATCATACTGAATTCAGAATAGGCGACAAAAATTGGTACAGAATGGCGTGTGTTTAGGTTCCGATGTATGTACATATAGTTTCCATACATAATTGAATACACCCTTTGAAAGGTCCTCTTAATAAATAAAAAATATTCTAATTAAATAATATTCTATTTTTAGATACATACTGTCAGTCAGTAACCTCAACTAATATGAATTCCAATGCTTCCAAACACCTTCCTCGGAATGGCAAATACAACGAAATGTCGCATTTGTCTCAGTTGGCTGCCCGAAAACAATCGTCATCTCAAACAAAACACAAGAAAACCTTACGTGAAGGTCTAATAGAAATCTACTATGAATATTGTGCGAATACCTCCGTACATGGTGTACAGTATTTAGGACAAAACCGACCCTGGAAGGAAATCATTTTTTGGTTGGGTATTTTTGCCATCTCAATTTATTATTGTGCGTACACAATAGCCCAAGTCTATCACAAATGGAATGATACACCAGTTATTGTTAGCTTTTCGGAGCGATCCATTCCTGTTTCGGATATTCCCTTTCCAGCCATAACTATTTGTCCAGAAATTAGAAGAAAAGTGGCAGATGATGATGGTAAGCTAAGACAACATAATTTTAAATTGAAAAGTATTCAAAATGTTCTCCTTCCAGGTCCCAGTTTCAGCGAATTACTTAGCAATTTAACATTTGGTTTGGGTATACCAGACAACTTAACACAAACGCAATTGGAAGAATTTCTAACGCTGTTACACACCTGTAACACAGATGTCTATTCCACGAATATTCCCCGACTTTCGAATACCACAATCGATTATATTCGCATCATAAATACCATGTCAATGGGTTTCGCAGAACAAGCTGTTGTTTGTAAATGGTTTGGTCTCGAAGACGAATGCAGTGATTTGTTAACCAAAACCTATACCGATAATGGTTTATGTTATACCTTTAATGGTTTCAATGGCACCGATTTGTATCGTGAAAATACAGTACAATATCAGCTAATGGGTCTCGAGAATCATGTCAACAAGTCTGCCAAACAACGCATTAATCGAACTTTAAATTGGTCACTCGAGGAGGGATATCCCAAAAATGCTCCCCTAAAAACATATCCTGCCAGAGTGGTGAGTGCCAGTACAAGGGCAGCATTCGAGGCGGGTCTTCGTGTACTCACCGATAATATCGATTATAGTTGCAGCCTTGGAACTGAAGGCTTTAAAATTGTCCTACACACCCCCAATGATGTACCGCTACTTTCCAAACGTTTTGTACGCATTTCACCACACAAAGAAGTGGCAATTACCGTTAAGCCGGTGATGTTAACCACATCGGATGGTGTTGCCAATTATTCACCCGAGAAACGTAAATGTTTCCTAAATCGTGAACGCTACCTGAAATTCTTTAAGGTTTACAGTGAACGGAATTGTGAAATGGAATGCCTCACCAATTATACCCTGCAACAATGCGGTTGTGTTAAATTCTCTATGCCACGTACTGCCGATATGCCCATATGCAGCGAGGATAAAATCCATTGTTACATTCAAGCCGAAGATAAAATGTTATTGGAGAATTTCGGTAATCGTGATAAGGATGCTTGCAATTGTATGCCATCGTGTACATCATTGGAATACGATGTGGAATTGGCACAATCGGATTTTAGTGAAAAACAAATATTTTCGGCATTTCGTATCGAAGATGTGGCAACGACAAAATGGTCACATTTAATTGTTCATTTTAAAGAAAATCAATTTATCACCTCGAAACGTTCGGTACTGTTTGGGTTCACTGATTTCCTGGGAAATTGTGGTGGAGTTTTGGGACTTTTTATGGGTTTTTCAATATTGAGTTTAATCGAATGGTTCTATCACATTACATTGCGTTTATGGTCGAATATGAGATCGAGAAAAAGACAAATTTAGATTAATTGAAAATAAAACGAACGATTTTTTAATTCAAAAACTATTGATTAAGGGATGTAAATTATAAATACATTTTGTGATAAATAAAAATAAATATTTATTTTAAAAATATCATAAAGGCTGTTTATTTATTAAATGAACGAAGTACATTCGATATATCGCCTGAAACGGCATTTAGGAATTTAGGTTGTAATAGGTTGTAATTCAGAATTGCATTTACAAAAAAATAAATAAATCAATTCAATTCAATATCTCGATTTGCTCAAATTCTATGCTAAATTGAGATAATTTCAAACCCTCCCCTTCAAAAAAAAAAAAGTTTTTAACCAAAAATTGCAATAAGCCTGTTTTTTAGCAAATGAATATGTAATAAAACAACGATCATGTAAGGATATCAGCTGCCTCTCAAGTTTGCTGTCAAAATCCATTATTGTGAATTGACTTCCATAATTTGAGAATGTAAACAAAATCCAATTTTGACCAGAACTAAAATCAACTGTTCTTTCTCAAGTCTAATGTCAAAAATGTAGACCATGATGCAATAATAAGGTGATGCATCACAACAAAAACCTTTGTTTTTGTCTCGATTATCTGTCAAATTTTTCCATATAATATTTTAAATGGTTTGACATTAGACATCGAATTCAAGTAGAAATTCTCTACCCACTTTGACAGTTAATCAGCTGACTGTCAACATTATTTCATTTTAATACCGGTCTAAACAGCTAGCTATTTTGACTACTTATTCATTGTGGCATTATTTAGATGTTTACAATTTTTATAATAAAATGAAAACTAAAAATTGTATGTATTTTTTTATTTAATTAACATTTATTAATATAAACATTGATAATCTACAATTCATTCCTTTATAGCCCTCCAATTAACCCATAATCACATGGTAAAATGAAGAGTATGTCAAAAATTAAACCGCGTTTGCATTTTTACAATGGAATTCAATTCACAATAATGGATTTTGACAGCAAACTTGAGAGACAGCTGATATTCAGCTGGTCTCTCTGGATGACTTGAGAAATAGCAGCTGATTTTTGCTAGCTGGGATCTTGTCTGCATACGTAAACAAATAATACTGATCTAAACAGCTAGGATTTTGTACCTCGATTTAAAAGGCATAGATAGCTGCGGATTATTTTTTATAATAAAATAAAAAATTTATGTATTTTTTTATTTAATTCAAATTTATTAATACACACATTGATAATTTACATTTTATTCCTTTTTAGCCTTCCAATTGGCCCATAGACGCATAGTAAAATGAAATATAATCTCAGCTATACTCAAGAGAGAGAAACCAATAAATAGACCACCAATACCACCACAATTTGATAGCAAATCATAAAAACTAAATAGCTTCGAACGTTTGGTGGCAATAAATTGGTTGTTCTTAAAATAAATCGAAATGAGAGACAATTCAATATCGGGCATAATATCCAACCAAGTGTCCATATTTAATAAAGCCATTAATGTCTTCTTCACATCCAAATGACCCTTCGAGATTTGCATATCATATTCCAGCGAAGTACAGGATGGTAGGCAATTACATTGTGTCACCAGTTTACCGTCATCCTGATTATCCTGATACGCCTTAAATTTATTGAACAACATTTCCTCTTCGGCTGTTTTATAACACTCAATTGCATCTAAATTACAAATAGGCATATCGGCAGTATGTGGCATTGAGAATCGAACACAATCGCATTTGTGGAGTGTGTAATTGGTCAGGCATTCCAATTCACAATTATCCGCATTATAGATTTTAAAGAATTTCAAGGGCCGTTCATGTTCGAAATAACATTGACGTTTTTGCGGCGAATAGATGGCAATATCGCTTGAGGTTTGCATTAGTTTTGGTTTCACTGCAATCGAAACTTCCTTACCCATATCGATGCGTACAAATCTCTTTGATACCGAAGGCACAGTATCGGGTGAATGTAATATCAGTTTGTAACCCTGGGTTGGGCCGCGACATGTGTAGTCATTATTTTCTTTTAGATTAAATAATGCAGATCTCAATCCAGCACTACTGCCACAGCTCACAACCCTGGCCGGGTATGTATTAAGTGGGCTATTAACAGCATAACCCTGTTCCAAAGACCATGCTAATGTACGATTTATTAGTTCGGTATTTTCAATGGAACTATGTAAACCCATTGTGCGATATTGCACTGTGCTCTCACGATATAAATCGGTGGCATTTAAACCATTAAATGTATAACAGACACCTTCTTCCGTATAGATTTTCGTATATAAATGTGTAATGTTCATTGGATTCGAGGACCAAAAGTGTCCTTCGTTATTCATACTCAAATCGGGCGCCATTTCACTAAGTATTGCCATATAATCGAGAGGGGGATATTGTAAATTGGTTAAATCGATTTCAACACTACCATCCGCCTTGCCATCATTGAGATAATCCAAATCACATACTTGGGCTAGTGTTAGAAAATCACGTAATTCTTTTGAGGTTATGTTGGAGTTGCCGGAAAATGCATCTATCGATTTGAGTTGTGAATATAAAGCATTAAAACTGGGTCCTAAAGGATTGGGGAGAGAATGAGAGGGGAGTTGGATTAAAAGTGGAAGTATTATATGACTGTGTTGGAAACAGATTCCGTAGTCTATGTCTTCTATTTGTAAAAAACGTAAAAAGTTTTCATCGTTTAAAACATACTCACCTTTATTCAATGGCCGCTTAGTTTCCGGACAAATGGTAACAGCTGGAAATGGTATTTTCGATATATCCACAGAACTTTCCGAAAAACTCACGATTACTGGACGATCTTTCCATTTTCCAAATGTCTGCATGACAGATGTCACACAATAGAAAAGGGATAAAAATATAACGCACAGCCAAAATATATTCTCCCGCAAAGGCCGTTGTTGGCTAAAATATGGAACTCCATGTAATGCGGTATTCCCCGAATATTCGATGAAAGTTTCCTTGAATGCTTGACACAATGGTTTTTTCTTGTTTGAATTTGATGTGTTGATATTTGATTCAGCATCGCGGTTAACTTGCATTAACTCTGTGGCGGTAGACATGTTGGTAGCTTGAAGCTTTAATAATAAGAGTGTAGAGAAGACATTGTTATTGTAATTATCCAAGATCATTTATCATATTTAAATACATACAGTTTTAGTTTTTATAAATGAAATTATTTAATCTTATATCAAATTCATTTGCATTTTATTAGCAACCCATTTGACCGTTTCAACTTGACGCTTCTTGTGCAAAATTTAAACTGAAGGATGTCTCTTTTTTGTTTCCATTGTCATCGACTGTTGGGAGAGTAAACACACACATATACGCTCATTGTGGAAAGTGATATTAATTTTTATTTACCGGTTAGATGGATCCCCATCCACATATGGCACTAATGCACAAAATAGTACGATAACGGCGATGGCTAGACCTGTTTTCTCTTTTGTCAGTAATTTTTGATTATTTTTCTCTCACTTACGCTCTCACACACTTACTCTCAATTTAGTTCTGTTCAACACTGACATATGGTCTCACACATACTTAGTCAGTTTGGTGTGTAGAGAGAGAGCGAGAGGACGAGAATGACGTTCTCTAGAGAATTACCGGTACAGGAGATCCCCAAATAAATTAGAAAATATCCCCAACCCCATGTTATCATAAAATAATATGTACATTCATTCGGATGTAGGGAGATAGAAGAAGTATTATATATACACAAATAATAACAACACAATATTTTACATTTACGTACAGAAAAATGGCACAACTATTTTAAATCGCAAAATACAACCAGATGATTTACTGATGATTTATCATTAAACACATTCGATCTAAATGAGCTTGATAATGGCTCATTTAGACCGATCAGCTGTTTCAAGATCTATTAATAAATCGATAACACCCTGCAAGCGAAAGTCAGCTGATTTTCTAATGTCAAAAATGTAGACTTTCTTTACAATGTCATAATAGAAGTCAATTCACAATAATGGGTTTTTACAGCAAACTTGAGAGGCAGGCATGGTACAATTATAAAAGGTAACAGCAAATCCCAGCTGATTTGATTCCATCGTAATACTAGTGTCAATATGAATTTGACAAATTATGTTTTAAAAAATCACCCAACAGGAAAATTGGGAATGCATACAATTTGAAATTGTTCTTTATTAAATGTGCTCCCGTATTCAATTTACTCAATCTGCCTCATGGGAAAGTTTCAGGAAGCAAATCTTTCTTCAAGGAATAACTCGCTATTCCCAGCATTTTCATATGTGTTACACATACATATATGTGGCAATGGCTCAATTATAGGAAAGATGTGGAAGCGATAGAAATATAAATTTGAAAGATTTTCATTCATGTTTTTCAATTTTTATTTTGAGGATTCGAAAATATTTAATTTTCAAAATAAAAATAGTTTGATGATAATTTGTTTGTTTGTTTACATTTTTCCGTCAAATGAGTTGACACTAGTAGAACTTACAACAACAATTTTCCATGTGGTTGTTGTATCGTTTTTTGTACAACAACACTTGCTGTTATCTTCTATTATTATACCATGAGAGGCAGGTGATATCCAGCTGGTCTGCCTGGATAGCCTTATTAATAGGGTTTGAGCTGTTTCTTAAATTTATTGTCTAAATCAAGATCTATGAATAACTGGATAGACTTGTAAGCAAAAGAGCAAAGTGGGTATACACTTCCGGAGGAACTGATACAAAATATAATCTTGACTGATGATGAACAGGACACCACGGGGATTCCGGCCCATAATACACCGGAAGATTGCTGTAGCTCCAACGAAGGAAGTTTACACCCTGTTGACAAACTGAATGCAATTCTGATTCAGTTGACCGCAACTGAATCGATGTCCGATGATCGGAACTACCCGAGAAGCATCCGATGCGAAACACTATAAACGTGCTGTATCGTATCTCCGCAAATTCGTAGGGCAAGATGCGAATTTGCTTCGTAAGGAAATTCGAAGGAACCTATCCGCACGGTTTTCATCGTGAGCTTCAGATGGAGAGGATCTTTCTCCCGAAACAAACAGTTGAGCGATCAAAAACCTCTAAGGAGATTTCTGAAACGAGCAATTTAGTAGAGCCGTGAAGCCCAAAGTCTTTGGCAAAGTTGTGGAGCTGACTTCTGATCCGAAGCCTAACCCTAGTCAAAAGGCAATGGAAAAGGTTGTTGAGTACACCCCGAAACCAACTGGCACCCATAAGGTTGATGAAGGACTCTGTCTTAAAGCCCGATTCTACGCCAATTAACATAAGATAAAACGGTTGGTAGCAAGGTTTTTGGTAGCACCACCGTTGGTCGGAACAGGAAGAAGGTCAAGTCAGCCAAGGAACCATCGTCTTCTGGAATATTGCCCCACAGCACAAATCTGTGAAGCGCATTCGCTCATCTGAAGGTCCACAACCTTTACCGAAAAATTCGATGACTTCGCGTCTGACTGACCCACAACCACGCATGCGGCTGCCGCTAAGCAACAAAATGCGGAGAAGAAACCGAGTACAGAAAAGGCATCAACCTCCTCTGGAAAAATTAACTCAAAGGTGCATGGTCAAAGGCACAAAAACCATACAACAGATCGACCACGGTAGCTGCTGACGAAGACTTTCAAGCGACAATCATCGATAAAACTGATCCTTTTGGTAGAATTAGTGACAGTCACTGTTTGCTTTTTGAAGCAGGCCATCGATCGGCTAACTCGTGAGAACGGTGGATGGCTTTGGCGCAATTTGGGAAGAGGCTAACCTTGCTGCCGTCTCCTTATCTGAGATCCCGTCCAGACGGATTCTCTCAGCCTGGGTCGCCCCACCATATGTGCACAAAGAACTCCTGCTGAAAATGATGACACTGCAAAATCCTAACCTCACTACTTCGAGTTGGGCTGTTATCATTCCAACACCATGTAACAAGGATGGAGGGATGGTTGCAAGAGTGGCAGTTGACACCCCCTGCGCAGCAAAGGCTGCGCATCCTGGAGATTAATCGGCATCACTGCAAAGCCACCGGCGCCGAACTACTCTTGTCCCTCACGAACTCTGAAGTGGGTATTGTCTTGGTTCAGGAACCATACATATATAAAAATGCGGTTTCTTGATTAAAAAATGCCAATTTCGACGTCGACATGAATCGTAAATCTTGATAAATGCATATTATCAATAGAATTTTCTAAATTTGATGCGATATAAATCAATTGGTATATAAATGTGTAATATTCGTTGGACCAACCTTCATCATGTATATATAGATCGGGCGCCATTTCACTGTCTTACAATCGAGAGTTGAATATTTTGTGCACTGAGGTTAGAAAATTTTGTAATTCAGTTGAGGTTAAAACTGAAACTATTAAAATAAGAGGATGGGGAGAAAAATTAATGAAGTTAATTTATGAAAGCGTTTGATACTTTAATTTTGTGCTACAATTTTTAGCAATAATTTTATTTCAAATTTCAAGATAGCATATAATTACATTTTAATCACCATACACAAATATCTATACATTTTCTTTGTTCTTGTTTCAAATTATTATTTATTTATTTATTTTTTTTTTTTTGGCAACACATACAATTATACTAAATGGTTTGTTTACTATTGTTGTTGCCGGCAGGCAACGGAGCATTCCAAACAAAAAAATCTATTAAGAGACTTAGGCAGTCCACACATCTCAAAATGCACACACGCACACAAGTGAATTTTCAATATACTAATTTTTAAGTGACTTCATCGAAATTTTGTTTTTTGTTTGTTTTTTTTTTTGCGGATGAGCAAAAAAAAAAGGGCAATACTTTTTAAAAGAAGATAATTGAATAACTGACACCAAAAACATCTTTAATCTCGAATCATGTGAATTAAATTATGTATTTGTTAAATATTTAAGTGTCATAATGTTCGTACGCATTATTGTGCTATAATTCTATCCACTACTGTGGGATTATTTTATACACAAAATATATGTCTATCGAGGGATTCTCTCCCGCTTTTTGATGAGTGTGTATGCGTGAGTGACATGAACTGACAACTCAATATTTTCGGTTTGCGATGCAAAAGAGCACCCAAATTCCATACCTCAGTATAGGATTTGGCGTCCAGACAGCAATTGTTAATTTGGAACAGCGCCTGTTTTAAAAAGGTTAATTAAATAATTAATTTCTTATAATTGCAAAAATTAAATGACAAATATATAACAAAATGTTAAGATTTTAAAATTTAAGTGCAGTACATGTCATTTGTAAATTAATCGCAAAAATATTAAGAGATAAATGAAAGGACAAAAAATAATAACCTGAAATGTCTCCTTTGAAAATTTTATAAACAATATCTTGGAAATTCAGTAAAAATTATAAATAAATAGTGAATACTAGATATACTCTAGACTTATGAAAAGTGTACACTTGAAATTCCCTTATAATTTGACATTTGTTTGCTTATTCGACAGACATTCAAATTAAAGGATCATTTAAATGATACCTTTTTTGAAAAAAAAACACCTCTTCATAATCTTTTAAAAAGTGGTACGGAAAATTATGCTCTTGTCAGTTTAAACAGCTGATTACAAAAGGAATATAAAAGTGCATTTAAAAATACGTTTTTAAATCGACTCGATTAACGAAATCCAGAAATACACCCTAATTGTTTACACATACCTTTAATCATGATTTAAATGTCAATCAGCTGATATTTGTTAGTATACATACAAAATTATTAAGTGGCGCCTAAAAAATTTGCTTGCAATTTGAAAAAGAAAAGAAAAATTACAACAATGGAGATGTTTTTCATGCTCTGATCGTTTGGAAAGTAAAAAAATCACCTAAAACCACAAAAATTCTATAAATAATTTTTGTTTTCCTTTAATTTTTCATTTTTGCATTTGGCAGGCGTTGAATATAAAAACAAACAACATGTAAAAACTGTTGCAAATTTTGGTACACTGTGAAAGAGTTGTATTTTTTTTCGTACAAAAACCGCGTTGCATCTCAGTAGTATTATGATTTCGATCATGATTTAAAATAAACCCTGCCGCACAATTATTTAATTTTGTATGGTAAACCTTGGTAAATGTAGCCTGATTAAAAGTACATTTACATATACGATTTTAAATCGACTCGATGAACAAACTCCAGAAATACACCCAAATTGTTTACACATAACGTTAATCATGATCTAAATGTCAATCAGCTGATGTTTGTTAGTATACATACAAAATTATTTATTTGCGCCAAAAAATATTTGTTTGCAAATTGAAAATTAAAAGAAGAATTGCAACAATTTCATTATTTTTGCAATAAAAAATACCTCGATTTAGCATACAAAACTAAATTCACTTAATATCTCGATTTGCTCCAAATCCTATGCAAAATCGAGATAATTCCGGAAGACTCATAAGAAATACGCATTTAAAAAGTTAATCACGCCTACAGGCTTAAAAATTACAAAATGGCGCTGTGTTAAGCAAATCGAGTCGATTTAGAAGTCATAATGCGTCATAAAACACTTTTATATAAATAATCATTAAGCAGATGACAAAGAAAGATGTTCTTTTTTCTTTCAGTTCAAACAGCTGATTACAAAAAAGCAAATAATTAGAGCGCGTTTAGGCTACTAAATCCATTCCATCTCAAACTCAAACCTCAATTCTATAGAATAGTGACGTAAAATCCTGTTCCCAAATCCAGTGGATAATTTTTGACGTATACGCTATGGAATTGACATTTGAGATCGAGTGGATTTCGTAAATCTAAACCATGATGCAATAATAAGGTCATCACCTCAAAACAAAAACATTTGTTTTTGTCTCGATTATCTGTCAAATTTTTCCTTATAATATTTCAAATGGTTGGCAACACTGCAAATCGAATTCAAGTAGAAATTACCCACTTTGACAGTTAATCGAGACATCAGCTGCGCTAAATGGACTACCTAGTCATTGTGACATGATCTAAAGGAACTTTAACTAAGACTCAGTTTAGATATACGAAATCCACTCAATCTCAAATGTCAATTCCATTGCATGTACGTCAAATATAATCCACTGAATTTGTGAACATGGTTAAGATGAGGTATACGCTATGGAATTGACGTTTGAGATCGAGGGGATTTAGTAGTCTAAATGTAGTTTAAAATGGCATTTACATCAGAACTTTTTACCGGGTTAACCTACTTAATGAGAATTTATTTGGCATATATTCAAATAATTGACAATTTAAAACCACTGGTTTAACGAAATCGAGAACAATGTAAACGTACTAAAATGTTCTTGTTCTTATAACTTATTTTCAGCACCTTCATTAATTCCAGCACATAACATTTACCCCCCATAATGGTAAATACCATAGAAGATCATTTGGAAATTATACCCCTCAATGGTATCGATTCGTCTGCACCACCATTATTACCCAAAAAATCCTACAATATATCTCCACCACCGGCTGTACCAAAACGTCAACACACCAAAAACTCCATATCATGTTTAAAATTTTGGAAACAACGATTTTTTGACTACTGTTCGAATACATCAATACACGGCATACAATATTTAGGAGAACGACGTCCCACCCTAGATCGTTTTATATGGTTGGCTTTAATTTTAATTTCGTTTTTCTTTTGTATTGATTCGATAACGGAAATCTATGAAAAATGGAATGATACACCGGTTATTGTCAGCTTTTCGGAGAAATCAACAGATATTTGGAGTATACCATTTCCAGCCATCACAATATGTGCGGAGAGTAAACGTTGGCATCGAGAAGGTAAGTTTGGTAAAGAACGAAAGAAATGTCTACTTTTATGGATGACGATTTGTTTTAAAAATATGTTTAAAACGACATATAGATTAGACATTTTTTGCCGGGTTAACCTTCTTTGTGAGGATTTATTTGACATACATACATACAGTTGAATTGACAATTGAAACCCACTGGATTAACGAAATCCGATAAAATATAAACGGCCTTTTACATGTTTAAAAAAAAAAATAATGCATGATGCAATAATAAGGTGATGTATCAAAACAAAAACCTTTGTTTTTGCCTCGATTATCTGTCAAAATTTTCCTTATATTATTTAAAATGGTTGGCAACACTGCTCATCGAATTCAAGTAAACTTACCCACTTTGACAGTTAATCGAGACATCAGCTGCGCTAAATGGACTACCCATGATGCAATAATAAGGTGATGTATACCAACAAAAACCTTTGTTTTTGTCTCGATTATCTGTCAAAATTTTCCATATAATATTTCAAATGGTTGGCAACACTGCACATCGAATTAAAGTAGAAATTACGCACATTGACAGTTAATCAAGGCATCAGCTGCGCTAAATAGGTAGTCCATTTAGCGCAGCTGATGTCTTCATTGTGCCATGGGACTACCTATTCATTGTGCCATGAGTAGCTGTCATATTTTTTTATTGTAGTACGTTTACATTGAACTGGTTTTCCAACTGGTACTTCAACTATTTTGAATTTTAACTAATTTTTAAGCATCATGAAATGATCATTTTTTGGTTCAAAATCAGAGTTGTATTTGAAATTATCTCGAAATCCTATGCTAAAGGCACGTTTAGACCATGAGTTCTAATCTATTCAATTTGTAAATAAATTTACAGAATTCTAACTGTTTATACTGATATTAGAGAGCTCGTTTAAACTACTAAATCCGCTTCATCTTCTCGATTCCTCCAGGTATGACCTATGATGAACGTCTTGACGATTTCATCAATGAACGTAAATCATTTACAACGAATCTAACAAACGAAATTGAAGAATTTCTAACAATGCTACATATTTGTTTAAATGATGCTGAAGATTTTGCAAATAACCCACCACTATCCTATCCACCTGTAGATTATATCGAAGTACTGGAGAAAATGTTACCACCATTCGGTGATAATTTTGTTCAGTGTAAATTGTTGGGCAACGACACCGATAATTGTATACAATATTTTCGTAAAACCTATACCGAAGAAGGTCTATGCTTTACATTTAATGGTCTAAATTCCCAAGATTTATATCGTGAGGATACTGTGCAATACCAAGATATGCAGCAAATGGAAATGAATACTAACAATTTTTCGGGTGGATTTTTAGGACGCAAATTGACATGGTCACTGGAGGAAGGTTATACGGCTGGAACGGAATTGGGTACATCTTATCCGGCTAGAGTTTTGAGTAGCGGCACAAAGGCTGGCGTTACGGCAATTCTACTCGATAATAAAACCAATATTGACTATGGTTGCCGTGAAGCATCACAGGGCTATAAGCTATTGTTACACTCACCCGATGATGTGCCGCAGGTGTCAAAACATTTCCTACACATACCCATGAACGAAGAGACCACAATTGCCGTTTTGCCGAGTATGATGACAACATCAAAAGCCATTGCAAAGTACTCGCCCGAGAAACGTCAATGTTATATGGCCAAGGAGCGGCAATTGCGTTTCTTTCAGGTTTACACAGAGAATAATTGTGAATTAGAGTGTTTAACGAATTTCACCCTCCACCGATGTGGGTGTGTTAAATTTTCCATGCCTCGGAACAGAGATATGCCATTATGTCGAGAACATCAAATACACTGCTATGAAAATGCCGAAGATGATTTAATGTTGGAACAATTTTCCGACAACCTTGACAATTGCCACTGTCTTCCGGCCTGTACATCACTGGATTATAATGTGGAAATATCACAAAGTTATTTTGATGTTGAGCGGACACTAAATGCCATGAGTGGTGGCCAGGAGCAGGAAGAGGAGCAGAAGATGCCAGAACAACAACAAATCTCCAATTATGAATATGCCTCATTCAGTATCTATTTTAAAGATAATCACTTTATTACAATCAAACGTTCCGAGTTGTATGGTCTATATGATTTCATTGCCAATTGTGGTGGTATATTGGGTTTATTTATGGGCGTTTCGATATTAAGTGTAATTGAAATTTTCTATCATCTCACCTTGCGTTTGTGGGCCAATTTGAAGCGGAAAATTAGTATTAAAATTATTACTTAAAAAATATAAATTTAAAAAATGAAAAAATATATATATTTTTAAATTTAATAATAAACTTATTTGTTGTTGAAATTAAATATGAAATGATTTGTTTTTCATAATTTGAATTGTATACCCTACACAAATATGTTTTCAGGGTGTTATAGCTTTGAATGTCCCCTCCTTTCAACATACCGATATATATCGACTGAGTCGATCTAGACAGGTGTGTCCATACCTTTGTTCATTACAATTTGTAAACAGAGTATAGTCCAATTTTGTGGACCAATCATCCAAAAATGTTGCATGTAAGTCTGCTTCGACCCATTGAAGACCCTATTGTGGTCATGAACCGTTACTTTTTAGGGCATGTTCTAGAGGCCACAAGCAGCTGATAATTTGGGATTGAAATGGACCGTAAACATTTTTGTCTGGTTTTCTAGTCGCTCTAGATTCCACTACCATTAGCTGGCCATCTCAAATGCTACACGGGTTTTGATAAAGATCGGCCAATATTTAAATGGGCTCAAATTAATTAAGATTTTTGTGTGTTTTAAAATAACAACATTTGAATCTTATGGGGTAAAAGTTTTCACTTCATTGTTGTATTTGATCGTACTAAATGTTATCGATTAGTGTATTATTTACAATGGATGTATTCATGATGTAATAATAAAGTGATGTATCAAAACAAAAAAACTTTGTTTTTTTTTCTCGACCATCTGTCAGCATCAACATAAGCATCCTGCGCACAACATAAGGTCCCCAAATTTCGGCAGCAATTTTTTTTTGTTAACCTCTACTGACGTGTCAATATTCCTAATCACGACAAAGTCTCCTTCCTTAAATACATTGAGTGTTCCACCCTTTTCCTTATGCGGTGTACACACTATCATTTTTGACTGTCAACTTTTTTATCGATTACTGACTGTCCAACAACCATAAATATTTTTGTGGTTGTCTGATGAATGACAAACATGTGAGGCCACACTATCAAACAAGCAAAATTTGGGCAAGAGTGCCATTCAAAAATGATAGTGTGTACACCGCATTAGACGGTTGTTTATAATATTTCTGCGTTTTCACGATAGCGGCCTGCCTTTTGCCTCTTATGTCCTTAATACCAGAGCTGTTGACTCTTCTGAGAGTACGGCAAGAATGGCTTCATTTTCCTTTTCATCATGGCCTATAAATAAGGTCACCAAGATAGCAATCGAAATCGGAAAACAGCCGTTTTTTTCTCAAGTCTAATGTCAAAAATTTCAACTTTGTTTACGTTTTCATAATGGACGTCAATTCACAATAATGCATTTTGACAGCAAACTTGAGAGGTATCGATAATCAGCTGGTCTACCTTGGTGACCTTATTTATAGGCCATGCTTTTCATCATGCTAATTACATTGTTGTATTTGATCGTACTAAATGCTATCAATGGACTATAAATAAGGTCACCCAGGGAGACCAGCTGGATATCTGTGCCACTCAAGTTTGCTGTCAAAATGCATTATTGTGAATTGACCCACATTATGAAAATGTAAACAGAGTCGACATTTTAACATTAGACTTGAGAAAAACAGCTGTTTTCCGATTTCGATTGCTACTTGGGTGACCTTATTTATAGATCATGTGCTATCGATAAGTGTTTTATTTACAATGGGAGCATGGCCTATAAATAAGGTCACCCAGGGAGACCAGCTGATAATCGATACCTCTCAAATTTGCTGTCAATATGCATTATTGTGAATTGACCTACATTATGAAAACGTAAACAGAGTCGAAATTTTTGACATTAGACTTGAGAAAAAAACAGCTGTTTTCCGATTTCGATTGCTATCTTGGTGACCTTATTATAATAGATCTTGAATGGGAGTGTTCATTTACTAAATGCTATCGATAAGTTTATCATTTACAATGGGTATGTTTGCAAATATCACAAAATATCGCCCAGGCTGGGAATATAGATCCGCAGAGTTATAATTCAGTGAACGGCCCCGTGTGGCTATATTGATAATATATTTACTTATTGCACGCTAGGGTTGTGCTATATTTTTGAGCAATGCTATATATATATATATATCCTCTCATACCGCCAATGATGAACGCTTGCATCACCATCATACAACCATATGTATTCTGTCCAAGAATTTACCATTGATTGTGAGTGTATGTGTGAGACTTGATTGAAATTTGCAAGAAAAAAACCCGAAATTTAGAAACTCATTTTTTTTACTAAAATTCTTTGTATGTGTGAGAGCAAAGTTTAGACTTGCGAATAAAAATACCAAGCAAACATATACAATATTCTCACATCGGATTTAGTTGTTTGCAAACAAGAGAACATTTAACATGGAACGGCAAACGTAACGGACATCTATTCCGATAATAATACTTAGTGGAAACAAAATACAAAAATTGGTAAATAATTGGATTGTAGAATTGTTTTAAAAGCACCCAAATTGTAAGTAGCTATGCATTACCATCAGATGTTTCAAGTAATAATTACAAAATTTTCAGAACCCCCAACCAAAAATGACCACCGATACAACAGAACCCCACACTTCCCTACTGCCACAAAAGAAATCCCTACGCCGTAGTGTTAAGGAGACATTTTTTGAATATTCTTCAAATACTTCAATACATGGTATTAAATTTTTGGGTGAAAATCGTTCATGGACCGAACGTATTATATGGATTTGTGTGTTCGTTGCTTCGTTATATTGGTGTATCGATGCCCTAAAAGAAATCGCCGAGAAATATCGTGAGACTCCAGTTATTGTTAGTATTTCGGAAAAATCAACCGATATATGGCGAATTCCATTTCCGGCTGTGACAATATGTTCGGAAACGAAGCGAGATCAAACCGAAGGTGTGTAGACAGAAAAAAAGTTTTTTTTTTTAATATAATTATAAGTTATTTTATTTTTGTATACACCAATTTATTCAAACGCGAAGCGGGAAGACACATACAAAGATTTCAGGCAACCTTCTTTAAGTTTAAGTATCTTGTGGGTTTTTTTTTAAGGAGAACGGCGACCAAACTCAGATGTTATTCTGATATCTAATAATAGGGGTGCGTTCAGCATGGCACAATAAGTACGAACTGCAATTAGCACAGCTGTCAAATTGCAATAAATATGTGGTCCGTTGAGCACAACTCAATATCTATTAATAAGGTCACCAAGATAGCAATCGAAATCGGAAAACAGCGGTTTTTCACAAGTCTAATGTCAAAAATTTCGACTTTGTTTACGTTTTCATAATGGAAGTCAATTCACAATAATGCATTTTGACAGCAAACTTGAGAGGTATCGATTATCAGCTGGTCTTCCTGGGTGACCTTATTTATAGGCCATGGCACAGCTGATGACTTGATTAACTGGCAAAGTGCGTAATTTCTACTTGGATTCCAACCATGTGAAATATTATACGAAACATTTGACAGATGATCGAGATAATGATGCAACAATAAAGCGATATATTAAAACAAGAACATTCGTTTTTGTCCCGATCATCTGTCAATTCTTTTCTAGGGAGAAGAAGATTAAGTTTTTATTTATTTTTTATAATTAAATTAAAAAATAATTTTTTATAAATCGAAATTTCGAAGTTGTTTACTAGTATGTAAAACCAAGCGGACTAGAAATCAGATGATTATCATGAACAATTTTTACGATGTACATTTTTCCTGTAAGAATTTGTTTTTTTTTAATTCTCTCATCTTTACTTTTATATTCGTTATTTTAATATAATATTTTATCTTTACACTCGTTTCGATTTGAACAGGTCCCTCATTTAGTGATCTTAGCAGCATGTACAATGAAAATCCCCACGAACTGACCAACAATTTATCAGCAACTGAACTCAAGCAATTTCTAGCAATGTTACAAATTTGTCCAGCAAGTGATCCGGATAACTCGGCAGAAATACCCTTATCAGAGAAAAGGCCTCTCGATTATTATCAAATACTCGATGAAATGGCGCCCGACTTCGAATTAACTTTTCCGTTTTGTCAATGGTTTTACAATCACAAAACTATAGATTGTGGAAAACTTCTAACTAAAACCTATACCGAAGAAGGTATCTGCTATACGTTTAATGGTTTAAATGCCACCGATTTATATCGCGAAAATACAATACAATACCAAAAAATGGGTTTGGAAAATCCCATTGATTCTATTAGAACTCTGAATAGGACATTGAGCTGGACTCTCGCCGATGGGTATGATGAAAATAGTCCTCTATTTACATATCCGGCAAGAATTCTGAAAAGTGGCGCAAAAACTGGTCTCAAAGTTATTGTACGTGATTTTAAATATGACACAGATTATGGTTGTAGTGGCCCAACAAAAGGTTTAAAAATTCTACTACATCCACCGGATGATGTGCAAATGGTATCGGAAAATTTCATACGTCTATCAATGCAGCGACAAGCTTCGATTGCTGTCAAGCCGGAAATGATGACAACATCAAAGGGAATTGAAAAATACACACCCAGTCAACGGCAATGTCAAATGTCCAATGAACGCTATTTGCGCTTTTTTCAAGTGTACACTGAGAAAAATTGTGAACTAGAATGTTTGACAAATTTCACGATGGCCCAGTGTGGTTGTGTACGGTTTTTTATGCCTCGTACCGTGGATATGCCTGTGTGTTCGGAAGCACAAATTAATTGCTACAATGAGGCGGCTAAAAATCTCTCGGCCATGTATTTCGCCAGTGATTTAAAGAAATCGAATAATAAATGCAACTGCCTGCCAGCCTGTACCTCCTTGGATTATGAAGTTGAAATATCTGAGGGTAATTTTAAATCTGAAGCCATAGGTGAAATATTCTCTGAAGATTTGGAATATGCTGCACTGCATGTCTATTTTAAGGATAATAAGTTTTTCACCACACATCGTTCGGAATTGTATGGCTATTATGATTTCATTGCCAATTGTGGTGGTATTTTTGGTTTATTTATGGGTTTATCACTGTTAAGTGTTTTCGAAATATTTTATCACCTAACATTGCGTTTGTGGAATAATTATAAAGTGAAGAAATATTGAAGTGTTTCCTATGAAGATTTAATTATACGATAATCATGTTAAAAACGGCATTTATATTATAACTTTATGAGAATTTATTTGAAATGTATAATATGGAATGACAATTTAAATCCACTGGATACAAACATGTTCATATGTATGTAAACGTACTATAGCCTGGTGAGATATTAATTTGCTGCCAAATGTTTATATATGTATATTTATTTGAAAAATAAATAAACAACTATTATATTTATGCGTAACAATGGATTTTTGATTTGCATGAAGAAACTTTTGGAACTATCTCCAAAAATGTGTGTTCGTACCAAACCAGTGTTGCATTTCATTAGTATTAATCATCGTAAAATAATAGGTATGTTCGTTTACTTTTCCAGTTACATTTACTCTGTAAGAATTCTCTGTGGGTAGAAACGAAAAAAAGAAAGAAGAGAGAAAATTGCAATCCAGTAAAAACGTTGTATCGATACAGCTTACAATAACAATAACAAAAAGTTTGGTACGAATGTGAAATGCGTACATTTTATTATAAAAGTGAACACAAGAGAAAATCAGTTATTTGTAATTTTTATTTCTACTTGCGCTTGCGCAAATACTCAATAACGCAACCGTCAAATTTTCTTTCTCAATATGCTTCTTTGGTGAACTTTTGCGTAAACGAACAGCATCCTGTAACACTTTGTACAAATTGTTTAGTAAACGAACATACCTAATACATGGTATGATAACTTCAGGTGAATAACAAAAATGCAACTATGTAGATAGTGGCTTCTTCTGTCAAATACAAAAAAGCAAAAAATACGCAAAAACTTATTGTGTTTATTTGATTTTTTTTCAACAGATAGCTATTTCTTCTCAACATTCAGTATGGAATAAAAGGTAATAGTAGTAATTTAAAAAAAAAGTATTTAATTTGGCATTCCCGGGTTTTGGAGGAAGTCATGCTTATTTTGATGTTTGTAGCAGCATTTCGGCAGAGGAATTTGACATTCAAGAATCCTTGTGAATAGAATACTTTTTTTTCCCCAAATATTGTTCAAATAAGGTCCACGTTTTATTTTATTTTCCAAGTGTTTTTTAGATCGACTTGATTACAGAAATCCAAAAGTACGTTTAGACTACTAATTCCACTCGATCTCAAATGTCAATTCCATTGTGTATGAGTCACGTCAATCCTATTCACAAATCCATTGGAATATTTTTGAGGTATACGCTATGGAATTGACATTTGATATCGAGTGGATTTCGTAAATCCAAACGTACGATAATTGTTTACACGTACCCATGGCACAATGAATAGGTAGTCCATTTAGAGCAGCTGATGTCTCGATTAACCGTCAAAGTGGACAATTTCTACTTGTATTCGATGTGCAATGTTGCCAATCATGTTAAATATTATATCGAAAAATTTGACAGATAATCGAGACAAAAACAAATGTTTTTGTTTTGTTACATCACCTTATTATTGCACCATGCACGTACCTAAATGTCGATCAGCTGATGTTTGTGAAAAACAGTTGCAAATTTTGGTACATTGTGAAAGAGTTATATTTTTTCGTAGAAAAGAAGCGTTGCATCTCAGTAGTATCATGATTTAAAATAAACCCTACCGCATGATGATTTAAATTTGTATGATAAATCATGGTAAATTCAGCCGGTTTAAGAAAATAAACAATGATTCAGCATTTAATCATGATTTAATGTTATATGTAAATTCACTTTAAGAAAATAAACCCTGATTCGGCCTTTAATTATGATTAAATATTATATATATAAATTCGCTGTCAGTTTTTCTGTACATGCGACATTATTTATGTATGTCAAAATTGTTACTTCACATACATTTTTGTTTAAATGCATATTAAATGTATCTTTATTTGTGAAATAATCAAAACGGCCGATTTATTTGGTTACAAATTACATATGTGTTGTCATATCGTTTTAACCCTTTGAGTCCTGAATTTTTTCCCCGTAATATGAGAACAAATTTCTGTTTACAGAATAATAAATTATTTGGTCTGTTTCAATACTTTGTTAATAGTAAATCTAGTAAAAGGGAAACCTTTCAAAATTGCTCTCAGAGTTACAAAATTTGAAAAGTTCGGGAGCGCAAATCTAGTAAATATGCCAAAATTAGATGCCAATACTTGAAAATCAACATAACAGTCAATCAGAAGTAGGCATTTACCATTTTACCATTTTTACTCGGCCAAATTTCTCGAGTAAAAAGTTTACAAAGAGAACGCCATGTTTTGTGCTCTCGTAAATTTGATTCAATGTTTTACCAGTTTTGTGGGTTGAGGAACGGTTTTCGAGTAAAATGTAGCAAAATACGTAAAATGAGTAGATTCTTTTAGGTTCTGGAACGGAACTATTCTCTATATTCATTTTTACAAGAATCAAAAATAATTCGAAGCGATTTATATAATTTGGATTGTATACACAAATTAGTACTGTACACAAAATTACCGTCTTCTCTATATCAAAAAAGCTCATAACTTTACCAAAATTTTGAATTTTTAGGATTTTTCTTTTGATCCTGACATATGAATTACGAATAATATGTATCTACTAGCTGCATATTAAATATAAGCTCTAAAACATTCTGTTGCCTGTGGGCCACAAAGGGTTAATAGATGAAATTTTTCGTGTGGGCAACACTGCGTGAACAGTACGACCCTATGTAAAATTTGACAGTACATATGACATTGATGGCTCGTGTAACAAAGGCTTTACTTTAATAATTGTACCTTGATATATACACACAAATTTCCATATATTTATTATAACATATTTTCATTTAAAAATATTAATTAATTTCCTTTTTCTGTCTCATTGCTGTTTTATCCCCAAAAACTGACATTTGCCATACGGCTTAATCAAAGACTAACCACCTTTTGCAATACTGATTACCACACACACACAAATTCCCTGACACAACAAAGTAACCATTCATGCTGTTTCAGCATGCATGCATGGAAATGTCATGCCAAAAAAGTACCAAATACTTATGGTTCTCAACGATTTAATTTAATTGGTTCTTTCATTTCATCGTCGTGTTGCGGAAGTTCGCGAGGCGGATAGCTTTTCTTTCTTTTTTTGTTTTGTGAAGAAAATAAATAATATATAGAAAAAAAGAACAAAATACAAAGGAAAAGATTCATATTTTCCAAGAAAAAAAAAGAAAGCAGGAGCAACACGAAAAATTCCCTCTTACTGGCTTTTGTTTTTTTGGATAAATTGCAACACGTAAAACGATTAGAAGAGGACGACGACAATACAACAACGAACCAACAACAAGGAGACAACGCTTTTTGTGAAACAAGGAAGAAAAAAATTAACTAACAATGGCTGCAGATCAATTCAATCAAATTTTAAATTCATTGCTTTCCACCGACAATGATGTGAGACAGCAGGCTGAGGTGTGTAATAAATAATTAAATGACAAATTAATATATTGTGAAATGAATAGTGGTTATTGCAAAAAAAAGAAGCCCTCCTCTCCTTCAAGTAGTGTGTGTGTGTGGTGTGTTGTAAGTTAAGGTATGAGACTAGAAGAAGAAACAAAAATTATATGACAAGGTTTTTGTTCTGGAAGGAATATTGTGTTATGTGGTGCTGACCCCTTCTCCATGTGTTGACTGTGCGAAGGAGGAAAGGTTATTTTTCCAGCAATATATATTATATATCAGTGAGTGTAACCGGGGAGGTGTTCTAATATCTTGCTGCGTTTTTCATTTTTTTGCACAAAGAAATTTCATGCCGACCGGACGAATAATAACGAAGGTGGTGGTGGTGGCATGCTAGCTTGTGTGGTGAATTTCGTTTGTAGCGCGAAACGTGTTTTTACGTTGTCTTTTCTGTGCTGCTATTCTTGGTATTTTTGTCGGTTTTGCATGGAAAAATGATTAAAAAAATAACAAATATGTGGAGAAATTTCTTGGAAATGTGATTACAAAGAAATCTCTTATTTTTTTAAAGAAAAAAGTTCATAGAAAAATATTTTTCCAAAGCAAAATAATATTATGACAGGCCCAACCTGCTGCTGCTGTGTGGTTAATAAATATATGATTCATGGAAACGGAAGCAAAACAGAGCCAACAATAGCTAAAAGAAAAACTGACACAAGACAAAGCAAAGCAGCCGTAATAGCAATAACGTCTGGCGGCTATTCTACTATGCATGGGCATATATTAATTTATTCTTCGTCGTTTTTTTTTAATTAATGTAATTAAAGCAATGATTCTTTTTTGGTATGTCGACTAATTTTCCCTCTTTCCTCCTCGTCGACATCATCCAATTTTGGCCATACAACCGAAAAAAATTCAACTCACGGCTGGGACGACCTCCCCGTCCCCCCTTCACAATGACAGATAATAGTAATGACGCATTTTCCTTATTCGAAGAAAATTCAAAACTGCATGTGGTTGCAAAAATAAATCTGGTGGCTTGGCAAGAGGCGGCAGGTTGAGAAACATGTGCCTGTTTCTCTATTGATTTCTATTTAAAACGAAAAACTGCTGCACCCAACACACCATCATCATCATCTAGCCAATGAAATAAGCTTCCCCAACTTAAAACAGGCGGCTGACCTTGTCATGTAATGCTGCCTGCCACCACCACCACAACAACCAACAGCTGAGAGGAGGAGGAACAACAGCAGCAGCAAGATGTTATTGTTACAATGTAAACAAGCTACTTGAAATCTAATCACAAACAATGAAAAGAAATAAAAAATGTACCCCGCCCACAATTTCCCTCCCCCACCGCCTCCATATTTTGTTTCTTAATTATTATTAATTGTTGTTTTCCTCCTTTTTCTTTATTTAACAGGATGCCTACAATAATGTACCACGCGAACTCAAGGTTACACATTTATTGGCCACCATACACAATGGCCAACAATCTGAAGAGGCTCGTCAAATGGCTGCTGTCTTATTGCGTCGTCTATTCTCATCTGAATTTTTAGAATTTTATAAAGAGGTGAGTAGTGAATTCCTTCCATCCTTCCACTATTTAATTTTATTAATTTCTAGTAGTTTTTGTGCGATTTTCTTTTTCATTTTCAATTTATATTCTTTCATATTACCTTACCTACCTGTATTATCTGGGTTTGTTGTTGGTGTTTTTCTCTCGCACATTATTATCATGGCATTGCCAGTTTTGTGTTCTGTTATAATTCTACAACAACAGCAACAACAAAAATTCCCTTTTTGCCAAATTGTGAAAGCTCATTTTTTTGCAATGGGGGAAAAATATAAACGATAGGCAGACACACGATAGAAGCAGCAGGTATCGAAGGCAATCACCATTCCATCTCATATATATGTTTTCATATTAATGCCTGTATGTATGTGTGTTTTGTTTTGATTTAATCTTCATATCTGCCAACAAACGGCTGCTGCTGCTGCAAAAAATACCAACCAAATCGGCCAAAACAAAAATGAGGTTATGTTGTGAGCCAATTTGTATGTTTATATATGTATATATACTGAATGTCCTAATTTTGTTGTTGCTATTTCGAATATAAAGAAAGGACATTAGCAGCTTACACATACAGATTCAAATACAATACAGTATTTATACATTATATTAAATTTCCATGGCAAATTACCCAAATTATGATGAGGAAGGTGCGTGTTGAGTATTTTATGTAGAAATATTATTAATTATAATTATTATTGGATTTGCAATTCTAATCTTAGAAATAGGCTTAGAACATAATATTTGAATTCAATAATTACAATTTAAGCTGAGAAAACTTAAAATGTCTGAAAAACAGAAAATGAAATCGTCCTGAATGAAGTCATAGGCAACGAATCGATTTAAAAAAGTCAGCCAAGAAAAAACGAAACGAAATGATATTTCCCTTCATTATTCCCCCAACACATCCACAAATTACATCGTCATCAGTGCTCTATTAATATCTAAATCAACCGATTTCAACAAAACTTGACACACATCAATCTAGACCTAATTCAGTAATCTGGCAAAATTTTGTCTAAATCGAACCAATATTGGCAGTTTGGTGAACCATTTACATAAAATCTAACGAAAGTATATATGAGAGCTATATCTAAATCTTAACCGATTTTTCCCAATTTAAGTAGGGCCAAATTAGAGACATGTGACAAATTTCATTCAAATCGGATAATAAATGCGACCTATACTTTGTTCACAAAAATACATGGACGGACGAACAGACTGACATGCATAAATCGTCTCAGAAGTGATTCTATGCATATTCTCAAAGGTCTATATCGATTCCTTTTGCCTGTTACAAACACAAAGACATAATACCCTGTACCACAGTGTGGTGAAGGGAATAAATATTAATGTCACGGGATGCCTTTGTGCATCTGTTGCCGATACCAGCGATTGATGTCATGTTTGAAGTTCATCATTTCGAGGAGTTGCGTATGAGTCTGTCAGTCTAATTTGTTTTGCTGTGGGCCGTGAGAAATTCATTACCGATGCCGGTGAGGTGAGCCACTCTGAGGGTGAAATGGCCGATGATGATACACAAACTTCATATTTTAATAATCATTTTGTAACATCATTTTAAGTTCTAATATGTCCAATGACAATCCCCAAACTTCGGGAAGCTATTTTATAAATCTTTGTCCTTAGTTATTGGCCATTTTGAAACGATTTTGAAAGTTCAAGATTGAACTTCATCGATATACATATTCCCACTTGATTTTAATTCAGATGAAGTTACTGCCTTTAAGGTTATGTGTCTATAAAAAATTCATTATGAATGATCATGCATTCATAACGAATTTGTTAACCATTAATATTTTCTAAGAATGAAAAATAAACATAACTCTGACAAACAAGCCGCTCCCTCCCTCCCATACCTCTCCTTGAACATGACATTCTTTTTCAAATTAATACAATTAACTATGGTTGTTGTACCCAAACTATTTTCTAAAAAAATAAAAATGTAGGGTGTGGTCAACAATAACAACAGCAATACTTAGATGATGCACTCATCATGATCATTACAAAAACTATTCTTATAATGATTAATGACATCGTAACACAACGCCTCAAGCATTAAATATTATCGCTATTAATTTCAGAATTTTCCTTTCAACCTCCTAACCAAATTCTTCATACTTTTAAATTCTCACAATTGTTTTCTTTTTCACTTTGCTTTCAGCTGCCGCAAGAGGGTCAGGGCCAGTTGCTACAACAAATACTTTTAGCCGTCCAACAAGATGTTACACCAAATTTACGTCGTAAGATCTGTGAAGTTGTTGCCGAAGCCGCACGCAATCTTATCGATGAAGATGGCAACAATCAATGGCCCGATTTCTTGCAATTTCTTTTCCAATGTGCCAATTCACCATCGGCCCAATTGCAAGAGTCCGCATTGCGTATCTTTGCCAGTGTACCATCGATCTTTGGCAATGACGAAGCTCAATATATGGATTTGATTAAGCAAATGTTGACCAAGAGCATGGAACCCACTGCTGATGTTGAGGTACGTTTCCAGGCTGTACGTGCTGTGGGCGCCTTCATTTTGCGCCACGACAAGGAAAAGGAGGCTGTCATCTATAAGCAATTTGCTGATTTGCTGCCACGCATGATTATGATCACCGCCGAGAGTATTGAGGCCCAAGATGATCAATCGCTATTGAAGTTGTTGATTGACATGACCGAGACTTGTCCCAAGTTTTTGCGTCCCCAATTGGAAGTTATCTTTGAGATTTGTATGAAGGTGAGTAAAAAAAGAAGCAACAAAAATAAAGAAATACCTATGTTTGTATATTTGTTGTTTGCTTTTTGATAGGTTTTCAGCTCCCAAGATGTTGAGGACAGCTGGCGCCATTTGGTCTTGGAAGTCATGGTCTCCCTCTCCGAAAATGCCCCAGCCATGGTACGCAAACGTGCCGAAAAATACATTGTCGCCTTGATCCCATTGGTCCTGCAAATGATGACCGACATGGAAGATGATGAAGATTGGGCTACTTCCGATTCGGTGACCGAAGATGACAACAGCGATAATAATGTCATTGCCGAGTCATCATTGGATCGTTTGGCATGTGGTTTGGGCGGCAAATGTGTATTGCCCAATGTCATGAACTCCTTACCCACCATGTTGGGTCACAGCGACTGGAAGCAACGTTACGCCGCCCTTATGGCCATTTCAGCCATTGGCGAAGGTTGCCACAAGCAAATGGAAGCCATGTTGGAACACATTATGGCTGCAGTTTTGAACTACTTGCGTGATCCCCATCCACGTGTTCGCTATGCTGCCTGTAATGCTATCGGTCAAATGTCCACCGATTTTGCACCCACATTCGAAAAGAAATTCCACGAACAAGTTGTGCCCGGCCTTTTGTCCTTGTTGGATGATGTGCAGAATCCCCGCGTGCAGGCTCATGCCGGTGCTGCCCTCGTCAACTTCTCCGAGGATTGCCCCAAAAATATTTTGACTCGCTACTTGGATGGCATTATGGGTAAATTGGAAGCTGTGTTGAATTCCAAGTTCAAGGAATTGGTCGAGAAGGGTAACAAATTGGTATTGGAACAGATTGTCACCACCATTGCTTCCGTGGCCGATACCTGTGAAAAGGAATTTGTCACCTACTACGATCGTTTGATGCCATGCCTGAAGTTCATCATTCAGAATGCTAATTCCGAGGAGTTGCGTATGTTGCGTGGCAAGACCATTGAGTGTGTCAGTCTAATTGGTTTGGCTGTGGGTCGTGAGAAGTTCATTACCGATGCCGGTGAGGTTATGGACATGTTGCTGAAGACCCACTCCGAGGGTGATATGGCCGATGATGATCCACAAACTTCGTATTTGATCACTGCTTGGGCCCGTATGTGCAAGATTCTGGGCAAACAATTCGAACAATACTTGCCCTTGGTTATGGGTCCTGTTATGCGCACAGCCGCCATGAAACCCGAGGTGGCTCTCTTGGACAACGATGAGGTCGAAGATATCGAGGGTGATGTCGATTGGTCCTTCATCAATTTGGGCGAACAGCAGAACTTTGCCATTCGCACCGCCGGCATGGAAGACAAGGCTTCGGCCTGTGAAATGTTGGTCTGCTATGCTCGTGAACTGAAGGAAGGTTTTGCCGACTATGCCGAGGAGGTGGTACGTCTAATGGTGCCCATGTTGAAATTCTATTTCCACGATGGTGTACGCACAGCCGCAGCTGAATCTTTGCCTTGTCTCTTGGATTGTGCTAAAATCAAGGGTCCCCAATATTTGGAAGGTATGTGGCTATACATTTGCCCCGAGCTGTTGAAGGTTATTGTCTCGGAACCGGAGGCTGATGTCCAAGCTGAACTATTGAACTCGTTGGCCAAGTGTATTGAGACCTTGGGACCCAACTGCTTGAATGATGATGCTATGAAACAAGTTTTGGAAATCATTGCTAAATACATGGAGGAACATTTCGAGCGTGCCGATAAACGTTTGCAGGCTCGCAACGAAGAGGATTACGATGATGGTGTTGAAGAGGAATTGGCCGAACAAGATGATACCGATACATATATTCTATCGAAAATTGTCGATATCCTACATGCTCTATTCTTGACCCATAAAGTACAGTTTTTGCCACATTTCGATCAGATAGCACAAAACTTTGTCAAACTATTGGATCCATCACGTTCATGGTCGGACAGACAGTGGGGTCTGTGCACATTTGATGATGTTATAGGTGAGCCAGTCAATCAAACGATTTTCTAATTGTGGTAATTAATAAAATCATTTTTTTTTCTTTATTTTAGAATTCTGTGGCCCCGCCTGTGCCGCCTATCAACAGTTCTTTACACCTGCCCTGTTGCAATATGTTACCGATAAATCGCCCGAGGTCCGTCAGGCTGCCACATATGGTTGCGGTGTGTTGGGTCAATTTGGTGGTGAACAATTTGCTGTAACCTGTGCACAAATCATTCCTCTCTTAGTACAAGTTGTGAACGACCCCAAGAGCCGCGAACCCGAAAACATCAATCCCACAGAAAATGCCATTTCGGCCGTAACAAAAATTCTGAAATATAACAAATCGGCATTGCCAAATGTTGATGAAATTATAAATATTTGGTAAGTAATTATTAAATGTTTTATTTTTTAATTTTGTCTATATATGTTTCATTAAGTAATACTAAAAACGCCAAGGCCAATGAACAGTATTTACAATTATAACATTATCCTAAACTAAAAAGCTGGAATTTTTGGGTTCGATTAAAAAAATGTATATATTTTTTTAATTTTTTTTTTTCGAACAAATACAGCTTTGGGGTTTCGTTAATATTTTTATATATTTTTTTATGTTTCCTTTTTCCTAATTGTTTATTTCTTGCAGGTTCTCTTGGTTACCCGTTACGGAAGACAGTGACGAAGCTCCTCACATCTATGGCTATTTGTGTGAATTGATCCAGGCCAATCATCCCATTATTTTGGGTGCTAACAACTGTAATCTACCACGTATTGTTTCCATTATTGCTCAAGCCTTTGCCAACAAAGTGGTTGCAGCCATCAGTGATGTTGGTTCACGGATGTTGGGCATTGTCAAACAAGTCGAGTCAAATCCCGAAGTCTTCCAAGCATGTGCCAGCCAATTGACACCAGAAATGCAACATGCTCTGCAAGAAGCCATTCGGGAATTGGCCTTGGCCTCAGCACAGGGTTAAAAACAAAACCACCACCACACATCAAAAAACACATACCAACAACTCACACACCAACCTTGCAACATACCAGAAAATTTGCAAAAAAGAAAAACACAAAAAAAAAGGATTTTTGCTTTATTTGAAAAAAACTTGCATTATTATATAAAATATATAACAAAAAAGCAGACCACAAAAAACAACAAAACGAAAAAATATATAAAATATACTGAGTATATATAATATACTTATACATTATTACCTATTTAATACATACTAAATAAATATATATAAACAAATATATATTCTGAACAACAACAACAATGTAATCACTTGAACTTAAAGCCCCTTTTTCTTCCACACTCCTCCCTACAAAACACAATCCACCCCAATCACTACCAAGAAAAAAATCAAAGACACACACACAACACAGTGACAAACATAAACTCGCATACACACATACAGATAAATATATATATGAATGAATAATTAAAAATTATCCACATATAACAAAAAACAGAAAAAAAGAGAGTTACATTAAGAAAACGAATTTTCACATTGCATTGTAAGTGTTTTTCTAACTTAACTTTTGTCGATTATTGGTAGTTGTTACCTTCAATGAATTCAATTTTGACTGTGTTTAGCTTGTGCTTTTTTTGCTAACATCAAACAAAAAAACTAAACTCAAAAAAAAATCAATGTGTATTTAAAAAAAAAATAATCTACATTTTTTAAGTCTTCTCAACTTGATGATTAACTATAAAAATTAATTCCATTTTTTTTAAATAGGAAAATAATATTTTTCTATAAATGTTTTTTTTTTCTTCTCTCTCATAAGAGTGTTATAATTTATTATTTTAAATTTCCTTAATTTTTTGATATATAAAAATATATTTTTTACTTGAAACTTTTTTCTTGTTGCTTACTTATATTCTTTTTTATAATTATAAGTTGTTTTTATGTATTTGGCAAAAACAACAACAACTTATATCAACTATATTATTTTTAAACCTTGAAATACATTTCCCTCTGTCTCTTTTTGAAGAAAATCATGTGCAGCGCAGAATAACAGCAACAACAACAATATCCACAAACTCAATTGTACGTTTTGACTTTATTATTTAATTGTTTATAAAAATCTTTTTAAATGAGTCCAAAAAAAACAACAAATAAGAAATCATAAAACTGCAAGTAACTTGAAAATAAATAAATATTAAAAAAAGAAAAATTAAAAAAAAAAACACTATTAAATAAAAATTACGAAAACGAAAAAAAAACAAACTCTTTGGTATATTTAATATTTTGGGAAGAAGAATAATTAAAAAAAATAAACATTTGCGGTTTGGCGTTTTTTAAATATATTTTTAAACTCTCATAGGTGTGGTGTCTTAATTTTCTTTTTGGAACCAACATAGGCGTGAATTTTTTGAATGTTTTTTTTTCAAGACAGCGCCTTCATGGATTTATTAGTTTGAACTTTTTTTTAATTTCCCCAAACGAACATAGGTGTATTTTTTTAAATATTTTTTTTCAAGCAAACATGAGTGCAATTTTGTATTTTTTTTTTAACAAATATGGGCGAGCATATTTTATAAATATTTTTCGAAGCCACAAGGCTTGAAATTTTTTTTAAACGTTTGTTTTGAACCAACATATTTTTGGAATCAAAACAGGAATGTATTTTTTAGAAATATTTTTTGAAACAAAATAGGTGTGGATTTCTTTAAAAAAATATTTTTTTAACCAAAGTAGGCAAGATATTTTTTTAAATTTCAAAACAACATAATCGTAGATTTTTGAAAATATTTTTTTGAACTAACATGGGCGTAGTTGTACCCTTCACCACACTGTGGTACAGGGTATTATGTCTTTGTGCATATGTTTGTAACAGGCAAAAGGAAACGATATAGAGAATATGCATAGCATCGATTTATGCATGTCCTTCCGTCCGTCTTTCCATGTTAAATTGTAAACAAAGGTCGCATTTTTGATTCGAATTGGATGAAATTTGGCACAGCCAATTTATTTGACCCAAGGACGAACCCTATTGAAATTGGGAAAAATCGGTTCAGATTTCGATATAGCTTCCATGTATATTTTGATCCGATTTTAGGTAAATTTTAAAACAAAAGTCCCTATATATCCTTCGATTTGCGTACTGAATTGAGTCTAGAATTATGAGTGGTGAGTTCGATTTACACAAAATTTGGCATAGCGTACTGAATTGAGCCTAGAATGATGTGTGTTAAATTTCGTGAAAATCTGTTCAGATTTCGATATAGCTTCCATATATATTTTCGTCCGATTTTAGGTAAATAGTGCACCAAAGTCCCTATATATCCTTCGATTTGCACGAAATTTGGCATATCGTACAGAATTGAGTCTAGAATGATGTGTGGTAAGTTTCGAGAAACGATTTTCACGATTTTCCCATATATATTTTCATCCGATTTTAGGTAGTGCACCAAAGTCCCTTTATATCCTTCAATTTGAACAAAAATTGGCATAGCGTTCTGAATTGAGTTGAGAATGATGAGTGGTGAGTTTTGGGAAAAACGTTTCGATATAGCTCCCATATATATTTTCGTCCGATTTTATGTAAATGATGCACCGAGCTCCCAATATTTGTCCGATTGGGAAACAATTTTGCACAGAGTACTGAATTAGGTCCAGACTGATGTCTGCGAAGTTTTGTTAAAATCGGTTCAGTTTTAGATATTGCTCCCATATATATTCGCTCCGATTTTATTTGAATGATACACCAAACTCCCAATATTTGTACGATTGGGACAACATTTTGCCCAGCGCACTGAATTTGGTACCGATTGATGTATGCGAAGTTTTGCTAATACCGATTCAGATTTCGATATAGCTCCCATATATAGTTTAATCGGATTTTATGTAAATGATGCACAAAACTCCCAATATTTGTCCGATTGAGCAAAATTTTATATAGTTGAAATCGGTTCAGATTTTGATATAGGTTGTATTTATATATTTTCGTTCGATTTTATGTAAGTGCTGTACCGAAGGGCCTACCACAAATAACTCATAAATAAATAAAAACACTTGCGATATTTTTTTAATACATTATACAATCGAAACTTTATTGTTGTTATATTTTTATTAATGCGTTTTGTTATTGTTGTTTTTCGGATAGGGTGTTAATGTAGTAGTGTCTTCGCTTCTTCAATAAAGTAAATATCGTTTTTTTTTCTCTTTTTGTTTAAAACAATTATACGTTTTTCGTTTTTTTGCTTAATGGAATTAGGGAAGTTGGTTAATAATGGACTTAATTTAAATCAAAAAAATATTTTCTTAAAAAATAGGAATGAAAAAAAGATTCAAAATAAAGGACAAAAAAGAAACATGATGAGATAGATTGCCACAACAAAATAAATGGTAAAGATAATTCGTGAGTATATAGAGGATTAAAAATAATTTTTATTATAAAATATACAATTGTTGTTTTTGGGTTTTGATTGAAAATAAATATAATACTAGGGATTAGGGACACATTTCGAAGGAAACACACACAAACAGAGAATGAATGAGAAGAATCACACGGGAAAGAAGTCATAGGAGTTTACAGAGTGGGGGTATTAAAGAGCGGAAACCGTTTCAAATAAATAAGGTGTCATATCCTCCCCTTTAATATTTTATTATTGGCTTCATATGTATGCTCTGTAGGCATTCCTGTATGATTGGCGATCTGGCTGTAGTTAAATATGTATAAATAATACTAAAAAATATTAAAAACAATAGAGCTGGGGGCTGAATTCGGGGCAGTTGAATAAAATAATTTAATATGAAATTAAGATGAACTGTGAGAATGAGAATTCTATGCTAATTTTATATAAAATTTGTTCGAGGAAGTTTGAATAGAAAAAAACCTTGCATGGTGAAAATGGGCTGTTTCGCGGTGTAGTTCGAAGGAGGTACCCCAAAGAAGTTGGATTTTATAATTTAGTTTTAGTGAAATCTAAATATTGAAGGAACTTTTAAAATCATGCTTTTCGAAAGGACCCATAAGTTATTTTTTAAGAATTCCGCAGGCGGGAATTTTTCTTAAAATAGGGAAGCATTTTTAAGGATCCTGGGTTTACTTTAAATTATTTTTTCAAGCAACCACCTTGTGAAACAGCACCATCCACTTATTTTTTTCACTTCCATTTTTAACCCAAAAGATATTGATCATCCGCTTCCACATTATCGGGATCGACTTCTTCAATTTCGGCTTCTGCCTCTAATAAATCAATATCAAGCATATTTTCTGGACATGGAGCATCATCATCTTCATCCTCATCGCCCACATCATCACCATCTCCACCTCCATCATCATCGTTTGCCACAACTACATCGTCATCCTCCTCCTCCTCACCACCGCCGCCGCCAAACGTCTGACCATCATCTTCATCTTCTCCCTCCAAATTGGTCACGTCATCCTCATAATTGACATCGGCACGCATTTTCGTCAGCATCTGGGGATGTTTATTCTTGAGATGTTCCTGCATATTGCTAATGTGGAAATAGCTCATCGAACAGAAACGACAATGCAAGTACGCTCCAAATGGCAAATGTTTAAATTTGTGGACCTGCAGGTCCCTCAGTTTACGACCGTTAACATGTTCATTGCATTCCAAACATAAATGCAATTTTGAGTTGATCTTGCGGAAATTCAAAACATTCCTACTGTTGAGGTTGTGTTCGATGTTAATGTGTTCACGCCAAGTGCGTGTCGATTCAAATTGCAGACCACACTGGGGACAGCTCAGTGTGAAACATCCCTGATTATCGGCCGTACTTTCGGTAAGAGATGGCGCGGCGGCCGGTAATGATGCCCTTGTTGGCCAAACACTCTTTCCAGCCGATGTACCAGCAGCCGAATGATTTGTTGTTGATTCATTCATAGAATTATCCTCATCAAATTGAGATTCATTTTGATCGGCGTCCTTGGCCGTCTCGGCCGTTTGCAGACCAGCGCATTTATTGGTGATTTTATCCAAATGCTTAAAGAACATTTGTTTGCGCACAAATTCACCCTTGCACACGGTGCAGTGGAATGACTTGTAGGGCAAATGACGAAATTTATGTGATTGCAATTGGCCAATGGCTCCCTTGGTGTGGGTGACAGTGACCCGTTTGTAGCACTGCAAACAGATATAGTGGTGATCGTCCAATTGGCGGAAATTCAGACCTTGTCGACTGTTCAGGTTGTGTTCATCGACAATGTGTTTACGCCAGAAGACATGCGAATCGAACGTTTGGGTACACGAGGGGCAATGATAGAAAATACTCTCATGATCGACAGCATTGTGATAGGAGATGACATCCTCGACTGTCTTCAGACCTGAGGGCCGATCTGAACTGGTAACATCAGATACATTTTTGCTGGCACTGCCGCCACCGTAAAATTGCCTGGGGGCATTGAATGCCGGTATCTGCTGTTTCTTGGCCTCGGCTGCCATGATGGAGTGTTGGGCCGGCTCAGCCTCCACAATGTTGTGCCTTTGCCTCAAATGACTGATCATGTTCGGCTTGTGGTTGTACGCCTGGCCGCACAGTAGGCATTTCAAATACTGCCTGTACTTGCAATGACGGAACTTGTGATCCTGTAAGCCCTTCAGTTTGGAACTTTGTACAACTTCATTGCATATCGTACATTGGAAGCGGAGTTTATCAATCATGCGGAAATCAAGCGACTCACGTTTATCGAAATTATGTTCGGAGTTGATGTGGCGGCGCCACAAGTGTCGCATTCGAAATTCTACACCACATTCGGGGCAAATGTAGATGAAATTACAATCCACCCCGGAATCGTCCGTATTGATGTCCGCAATGGAAGGCACCGCCGGTTCACGACTACTGGGTGTCAACAAGTCATCAACATCAATGGATTTATCTTCGCTGACAAAATCGTGTTCGGTTTTAATGTGATGCTGTAATGCCTGAGGATTTTTGAAGATGGAACCACAATCGACACAACGATAACGGGACATTTGTTCTAGGTTTGATTTGGCCAAGGGATAGGCTCGTTTGTTATACGAATGGGTCTCGGCTTTGTTATAATCATACGATTTTCTGCCAAAATCTCTCATAAAATCAACACCGCCGCTTCCGCTGCCGCCACCACCACCGAAATCCACATCATCATCTTCATCCAAAAAGCATATTTCATAGGTGTAATTATTGTGCCTCACAATCTCCTTGTACGGTGGTTGCTGTTTCGATTTGAAGGGCTTAGTGCTCGGACTACCGAAATTCGGTATAGGCGATGCGGAGTTGACATTCCTTGACGAAGGAACCCCAATGCCATGGGCATTTCTTAAATGTTTCGTCAAGCCCTTACGCTCCGTGTATTGTTTCCGGCAAATACGACAAATGGCAAACGATTTGTACTGCATATGCGTAATACGATGTTGTTGTGCATTCTGTATGCCATAGGCATTTGTGATAATCTTATCGCATTCTCGACATCTCAGCTGTAGTTCATTGATGACCTCAAAATTCAGCGTCTCCAAATCGCCCAGTTGATGTTGATCCACCATATGTTTACGCCATAATTTCTTATCCGTAAATTCTTTGCCGCACTGGGGACACAAATAGTTAATGTGTTGTTCAAATGTATCTCGTTCTTCGGATTTGGACATAGAATTACCATTGCCCCATGATGATGAATTCTTGGCATTATAATCGTCGGCACCAAAACCGAATGGTTCTTGACTATCTTCATCGTTATTGCTGTTCGTCGTGTTTTCCGAGACCAGATGATGTTTTTCGGCCAAATGACGTATCACCTCTTTGCTAATATCGAATTCGGTAAAACACAATTTACATGTTAGCCATTTCTTGTGCGGCAAGTGGGTGAACTTGTGCAATTGTAAATTTCGGATTGTATTATTCGTGATGGTCTGAAAGAGAGAAATTGAGAAAGAGAAAAAGGAAAATTGTGAAAATTTTGATTGAGTAAAGTATTGTTCCCGCTATTTTTATATCCTTTACCACACTGTGGTACAGGGTATTATGTCTTTGTGCATATGTTTGTAACAGGCAAAAGGAAACGAAATAGACACATGGTTCCTTTTGAGAATAAGCATAGAATCACTTTTTAAGTCGATTTATACATGTCAGTCCGTCCGTCCGTCTGTCCATGTTAAGTTGTAAACAAAGTACATGTCGCATTTTTGATTCGAATTGGATGAAATTTGGCACAGCTTTATTCGGCCCAAGGAAGAACCCTATTGAAATTGGAAAAAATCGGTTCAGATTTGGATATAGCTCCCATATATATTTTAGCCCGCTTTAAGGTAAATAGTGCACTAAAGAAACTATATATCCATCGATCGCACGAAAGTTGGCATAGCGTACTGAATTGAGTATAGAATGATGAGTGGTGAGTTTCGGGAAAATCGGTTCAGATTTAGATATAGCTCCCTTATATATTTCGTCCGATTTTATGTAAATGGTGCACGGAAGTCCCTAAATATCCTTCGATTTGCATGAAATTTTGCCCAGCGCACTTAATTGAGTCTAGAATGATGTGTATTAAGTTTTGGAAAAATGTGCCCATTACCCTCTTGTATGTACCTATAGTGGTGAAGGGTATCATATAGTCGGTCCCGTCCGACTTTTGAACTTTCATATCTGGTTATTTAAATCTAAATTAAAAAAATTACTGATGACAACATACCTGATTACATTCAATACATTGAGCTTGTCCTTGATTTATATCGCGTATATTCAGACCCTTTCGCGATGCCATATCATGTGCTTCTTCAATATGTTGATGCCATTCGCTGCGTGTTTCACATTCCGTTGCACACTGAGGACATGTAAATAACACGTATTCTTCCAGCGATTCATCGATGTCATCTAAAAGTTTTGATTTTAGTTGGCCACCTCCGCCAGCAGAACCATTTGTCGAACCATCATCGAGAAATGTGGAGATATCGCGAGCCGCACGCTTGGACGGCGGCTGTTGTAGTGAACTATCACCATCATCCTCATCCAAAACTTCATTGCGCACTTCAATGCCATCGGAGTTATTGTCGAAAATATCCAATGCACTCTCTTTAACCTGACCAATGGAAATATTTGAACGTGATGCTGTCGATGGTTTGCTTAAAATTGAACGTAAATTTTGATTTTGTTGCTGTTGTTGTGGTGGCGGTCGATTTTTATGTTCCTCCTTGGCCAGGGCAATTAATTCATCGCGATGTGCCATTTTTAGATGCACCATTAAATCCTGCCGATATTTATATTGACGCTTACAGATGAAACACTTGCAACAACGATACGGTAAATGGGTAAATTTGTGCTTCATCAAGTTCTCCATACTATGCATGGCTATACGTTTCTGACATTCCATACATTCATGATAGAGTTTGTCCAATTGAATGAAATTCAAACCCTCCCGAGTGTTGTAACTGTGAACGTTGTTGAGATGAGTTTTCCACGCATCTTGTGAACGGAATTCAGCAGCACACGATGGGCATATATAAACAATGGCATCTTCGTATCGCACCAATTTATGATAGTATTCATCCTCGGCTGAGAGGGGCGGAGGTGGTTCGTTGGTGGATTGTAATGGTGGTCTGCCGGGTGGGCGATTAGAATTGGAATTGTCAGCATAGAAATCGAAAAGAGATTCATCTGCGTGTTGTGGTGTATCCCGATCACTGTGCAATATCGAATGAAATGCAAAGGGACTATCGTCTTCGAAATTTTCCTCCATCGGTTCGGGAGGTTCTTCTTTTACTTGCATATCCTGTACAGGTGATGGTATGGTAAAGGGTACATTTTCTTCACCATCATCGACGTTCTCATCGTTATTCTCGTCATCGCCACCACCACCGCCGTCATCATCAGCATCGTCGTCGTTTTCCTCCTCACCAGCATTATCAGCAGCTTGTTCACTTGTAAACATATTCCACGGCTCTAATTCATCCATTTTGAAAAAAATCTTCCTTAAATAACCGCGACCCTAATCGTGTGTAGTTGTTTCTTTCTTAGCGTTTTCGCTTGTGCAAAAATTGTAAATTTCTTCTGCTTCTCTGCTTGTTTGCTTTTGTTCTGCTCTCTTGTTCTTCTTCTTCACTTTGTACTACTACTTTTGCCTGCTGCCCTGTCTGCGGCAATTTCGCCAATTTGTTCAATCAAAATCGGTTTTTTTCGTTCACTTTTGCATAGTTTTACATTGTCTTTTTTTATTCCGTTACACTTTTTTGTTTTATTTCACGTTGCGAACTAAATAATTTTATTAAATTGTAATTAATTTGCGCAAATAGTTTATGCAGATGCCAATTGTTTGCATCTGGCTTGGCTTTATAAAAAAAGTAGGGATCTATAAGTCGACTTTTGTTGTCGTTGCCAATCGTTTACCAAAGACATAAAGGTGGTTCACATCCATGATACAATAATACAAGTTAGGCTGTGTGTTGTGTTCCAGGGGATTGATAACTGGTAAAGTAATTTCGCGCCACTGTCACTTTACAAGAACACCAAAAATGACGATATCACTGATACTGATACAGAACTAATCGATGATGATGAGGATGATTGCGAATCGTCGCCTACTCTTGAACATTTCTACAAAATATCATTTTTGTAGAAAATTACTTCTTCCACAAGAGTCTTCCATAAGCCTTCTGTGAAGGGTCTTTATTCCGTGGTGTAATAACACATAGTAGGACAGCTTGAGGTGAATAACAAAAAACAACTATGTAGGTAGTTGCTTCTTCAGTCAAATATAAACAAACAAGAGGTTGTGTGTATTTGAAATTTTTTCAACATATAACAAAAAAACCCTAAAAATGAATGAAAGATTACAATTTATTTTCAAAATCCAGTAGGTAATATTATGAAATGTTTGTTTCATCCATAACAAAGTAATTTTTCCCTGGCGAACGCTGTAAAAATGGTTTTAATTTCAATTTGAGAACAAATTGTAATCAGTTGGTAGATAGGTCCTACCCAAGGCCTAGATCTTAGATAGACCTTGATCCTACCTTCTTATAATTATACCACGTTTTATTTTCTTCTTCTAACCAAATCCGACCGTTGTAATAATGACAATTTTTTTCAAATATGTTTTTAAATAATAATACTTTTTTCACTTTTTTCGTTTATTATTACAAAATCTCTTTCATGTTTCAAATGCATTGTGTTTGTACTTTCTTATCATTAAAAAATTTTGGAAAAAAACTAACGCAACATTTATGTAAAAAACTTAATTTAACAAATTAAATAAAAAAATACAAAACGGAACAAAAACCTAAACTATTTCGATGTGGGTATTGGCATCATTAGGAAACCACCACTTGAACCTAAAAGAAGAGAATGTGAAATTAAAAAAATAAGGAAATTAATTAAATATTTTTCCCATTATTACCAGTTTTCTTAGCCACCCAAGTGCCGCCTCCACCACGTGATGATGTCGAACCTCGTCCACCACGGCCAGTTGAACTACGTTTCCCCCGTGTTGATGGAGAGCCAAATACCTTTTTACTACCATATTTCCGGGAAGGACTAACGGCAGCGGCTGCACCACCCCAACTCGAGGAGGATCCTGCACCTTTACGTGATTTTTTGGCACTACCACCTTTTGAACGCCATGTACGTTTCCGTTTACCACCACGATAACTACCGCCGCCTCCTCCACTGTTGGCACTACCCTGGGAAGCAGCAGCTCGACTCCAATCACCCTCATTATCATCGCAACCATCACTGTCGTCATCATCATCGTAATCATTCATAAATCCTCCACCGCTACCACCCCCACCTACTCCTCCTCCGCCGCCACTTGCTGCCTTCTCCTGTTGTTGCATCTCTTCCAAATCCATTAAAATGCACAATTTCTCTGCCGCATAATTTCGGGTAATTTCCAATAGCTTGGCACCATATTTATCGAAATTGGCTTTAGTGACATGGGGTATGGAACACATTTCCGCTTCGGTTTCGGGTAATTGTTCAGCCATTGCCTTAATGGCTTGTATATTCATAATACTGGCCATGGTAACATTACGTTGAGCGGCAATTGTCCGACACAAATCCAATAGATCCGAGTAGCAACGATGATAGATATCGGTAAGCAATTCATTACTTTTCGAGGTAGATGACGAAGCCAATGTGCCCGATGCAGTTGATTTTGCAACGTTATCATTGGATGAGCCGGCCGTTGATAGCTGACCACGTCCCTGTTTACGTGTCAGGGCAAATTCCATTTTAACATTCTCCTTCATTAACTTCTCCACCTTTGGGCCCAAGTAAATATACGCCTGCGGTATATCTTTGGCAAATATCAGATCTTCACGTAAATACTCTTGGGTAACCATAACACGCAGCAGGCGTTGTATATCGGCTTTATCCCAATCCTTGAGTATGCCATGATGACGAGTTTTATTGTGATTGAATTCGACAATTTTTTTAATATTTGAACCCTTCAGGACGTCCGCTAAAATGTGGGTTGGTAGGGATATGTACACACAGGTTAATGAAAGATTTTATTATGGAAGCCTTTTTTTGCTTACCAATATGCAGCAGAGTAAATCTCGATCGTCCACTACATAGTTCCTTAATACAATGGGCAACTTTTCGACAATATTCCAAGGGATTTATTAGCTAAAAATAAAAATAAGAAAAATCTGTTTATTTGGAATGCGCCCCCCATATAATGGTAACTCCCAAATTTCACTTATGGGCATTAACTGTTTGCTTGCTGGCACCTATAGAGATCTGTTGCCTTGTTGATGGCTGCAATGAGCTTGTACTGTATTTTAAGTTACCCTTACGGACATCTAGTGTGTTGTAGATGGGCCCTAAAGATCTCTACTGTCTTGTAGATGACGCCGTATGTATTCTAGATCGGATTCTACTGTACAGAAAATGTCGCCTTTGGGGTATCTACTGTACTACAGATGTCGCTTTGGAGATCTGCTTCTCTAGCGTGTAGAATTTGTCTTCTATCTATCGAAGACTTCAACACTTTTATACAAATCTCCCTTTACCCGCCCTCTCTTCATACTTACGGAATATTGTTGTTGTTTAAGGCAATTATCACATGCCGTGGCACGATTCTTTAAACATTCATCGCGGGTAAAATGTTCACCGAAATAATCCAATTGTTGGGCACGACGGCAATCGGCTACATTTTCACAATAGCCAACAATGCGATTCAGATTTTCAATGTGGATATTTTTAACGGTTGCTGTCAGGGATTTGTCCACTGGAAAACAACATCAATAAAATATTATTTACGATATCATATGGTAAAAACAAAAGGACAACAACTTACTATCCATCATTTTACGATAACGCATCATATCACCATAATTATAATACAAAATACAATGGGCCAATTCACCATCACGTCCCGCTCTACCGGCTTCCTGATAATAGCCTTCAATGGACTTGGGCAGTGAATAATGCAATACAAATCGTACATCTGGTTTATCGATGCCCATACCAAATGCTATGGTCGCACAAATCACCCGATATTTATTTGTTATCCAATCTTTTTGTCGTGTTTCACGCACACTGTCGGACAGGCCAGCATGATAGGAACATGATTTAATACCCGATTTACACATACTCTGGGCGACATCATCACATTCCTTACGCGATAAACAATAGATAATACCACTATCTTTGGAGGGTCGTGATTGAATGAAATTTTTCATATCCTCCAGTGTGGAGGAGCCCTTTTTCGGCAGTACGGTATATTTTAGATTACTACGGTTGAAACTCGACAGGAACCATTTCGGTTTGGGTAAATTTAATTGTTTTAGAATATCCATACGGACGCGGGGTGTGGCAGTAGCCGTCAATGCCATTGTGGGGACATTGGGGAAACGTTTACGCAGTATACCCAAACGTTTGTAATCAGGACGAAAGTCGTGACCCCATTGGGAGACACAATGCGCCTCGTCTATTACAAAACGGGCTATATTATTTTTCGAATATAAACTATCTAATAAGTCTTGAAATTTGGCAGAGCTTGATATTTTTTCGGGGGTAACATAGAGGATTTTAATGCGCGGAGGTGAGGTTTCCAAATCACAGTAGATGGCGCGCTGTTCGGTTAGCGATTGATCACCGGAAAAGTTTTTGGCATATATCTGGAATGAGAGAGGGAATTTAATATTATTTCAGACCTCAAGCGCTCAAACAACTTACATCCAATGAGGCCAATTTATTGACTTGATCTGAAATCAACGACTTCAAAGGGCTAATAACAATTGTTACCCCCTCTGTCATTATGGCTGGCAGTTGATAACACAATGATTTACCTCCTCCGGTGGGCATTAGAACAAAACAATCATGACCCGTTAAGGCAGCATTGATGACTTGCAGCTGATTTGTACGAAAACTCTTCAGACCAAAATTGATACGTAACGCTTCCATAAGCCGTTTGGAATGGGGATAATTTGTACCATCAAATTCTCCTGTGATGCCATCATTTTGTACATTTGAATGAAAATTACCGGCAACCTTTTGTGCGGATGCCGTTAATGTGGGTCGGGTTGTTGTTGAAGATTTTGGTGTCTTCATTACATCGTTTAGCATTGAGGCACGACTACTCGTTGAGGGTGAATCGAAATCTTCAATGAGAATTGTTGATGTTGAACTACTATAACGTTTTGAGCTGTTGAGTACCGCTGCCGCTTGTGAATGCATTAATTCAAATTTCTCCGGGTCATAGATCTGAAAAAGAGAGAAGGAAATAAATTGAAAATAGGTTATGCCACGAATGGTAAATGAAAGATTTTAGATTATTTTTCTGGGGAATTAAGACCTTGAATTATATAAATTGTTTTTGGGGGATATAAAATATACAAATGAACCTTGAAACACAACATCAAAACCATACAACTCTACTCACCTCAAAGCCATCTTCATCCAATTCCACTGTGGCCTGTACACTGTTGTCATTTGTAGCTGGAAAGGTGATACGTCTAGCCGGTGATGGTTCACGTATTTTACCCTTATAATTTTCAATTTCACCATATGCATATTGATTATATTCGGAACGTCGACCCTTTAGCTCGGCATCCTGCTCGCGAATATCATTTAATAAATCATCCAATTCACAATCATCCTCATCATCATCGTCGTCGGGAATATTAACTGTGGATGTGTCATTTACGGTTTTGTTATTTAAACTGTCATCACAATCATCTAACATAATTGTTTCCTGTAAATATTTCGCCTGAGAATCTTCATAGTCAGTTTCATCGCCGTCATCATCATCGCATAAATTGTTAATTTTTTGTTTGAGATTTTGATAGTCTCTGGATACTGTGGTCGTGGCAGTGGTTGTGCTGGGTTTGTTGGATTTTAGCGGCACCAAGTCTTCGCCATCATCTGGCGCTCCATTGCAAATGATTTCTTGTTGCTGCTGTTCAGCTTGCATTTGCCGTTCCTCTTCCTCCATGGCATCGATATCAAAATCAGGTTCTGATTCGAAATGAATAGGTGGAAGACGTTTATTAGTAGTTTGCAGTTGTTGTTTTTGTATTTGATTCTCTACTAGATGGGTAGGTTTATTTGGTCCATTACTAATTTGTTTTTGTTCCATTTTCATTTGCCTTTCCTCCTCCTCCAGGGCATCTATATCATCATGACAATCGCTGGGTTCTTTACTGTAGAGATTTTTATTTTTCAAATTCTGTTGCCTTTCTTCGGCTTTCATTTGCCGTTCCTCCTCTTCCAATTGGTCGATATTGAGGATCTCATCCTGGATAATTTTATTTTTTGTACTAGGACCAGCCTTTTGTTCAACATTCGCCTGCTTCTGTTCCTGTTTCTCCAAGGTATTTTGTAATAATTTCGTTTTGGCCTTAAACTTCTGTCGCATAATTTTCAATTTCAAAAAGGTACCCGTCTCAAAGCCGCTTATACTGTTGAAATAATCTGCCGGTATTTGATCAACAATATTGCAATATTTTTCCATTAATTCGCTGTAGGTGGTTTTGAAAAATGCCAAACTGGCCTTCAAAACGTGGATATTATCCTGGAAAAGAAAAAGAAGAACGCAAAGGAAATTAATAAAAAATATTGAAAGGTAAGGACAAAAATCGGACTAGGCCGACTATGCGCTACCCTAGACCATTAAGGGTATGTACATTAGATACTTATATCCTGTCTATCGGACTGACGTAGCTTCAATGGCGCACCCATTTGTATCATTCAGCGATCGATGCAAAATTGCATGTCAATCGAATAGAGTTAGGAGTTCGGTGCATCATTTAGCTAAAATCGGAAGAAAATATATATGCGAGCTATGTCTATATCTGAACCGATTTCTGGAAAATTTAACACATGTTATTCCACACTCAATTCAATACGATATGCAAAATTCCATCTCAATCGGATAAACTTTGGGTGTTTCGTGCACAATTTACCTAAAATCGGCAGAAAATATATATGGAATCTATATCTAATTCTGAACCGATTTCTATAAAATTTAACACAAGTTATTCCACACTCAATGAAAATATATATGGGAGCTATATTTAAATCTGAATCGATTTCGTTAGAACTTATAAAACATCATTCAAAACTCAATTAAATACGCTGTGCAAAATTTCGTTGCAATCGAACGAACGTGGGGTGTATGGTGCATTATTTAGATGAAATCGGACGAAAATATATATGGGAGCTATATCTAAATCTAAACCAATTTCTATAAAATTTAGCACAAGTTATTCCACACTCAATTCAACACGATATGGAAAAATGAGTGTACTAAATCGGTTAAACTTTGTGTGTGAGGTGCATTATTTACCTAAAATCGGACGAAAATATATATGGGAGCTATATCTAACATTCCATATATAATTCGGCACGCTATGCAAAGTTTCATCTCAATCGGACAAACTTTGGATCTTGGAGCAAATTTTATCTGATTTCAACAGAACCGATACCATTATCATACCTCATTATTATTGGTTTTGAAATGGTGGCTTTGTGTGAGATCACACAAATAGGAATTTAGGCCATTTTCAAAAACCACACTAACATCTGATTTGCGGGGTTTCTTCTCTTCGGGTTTTGCCACGACGTCCGGCTTTTTTTCTTGCGGCGGTTGTTGTTCGTATATGGATGAGCTATTTTCTTTTACTGGACAACTTTCTTTTGCTTCGTCCAATGGACTTTTTCCTCCAGAATCATTCAATTTTTCTGTTTTTATTTCGATTTCATTGAATTTCTCTGACTTTTTTGTTTCTGCACCCTTAGGTTTATATGTCATATTGACCATATCATCGAAGCTATCCGTTGATATATCCAATTCTTTTTTTGATCTGGCGCCATCACCCGTTGTCAGCATGGAATTATTGTTTTTCTCCCTTTTATCCGGCGTTAGAGAATATTTACAACGTTCCCTGGAGGCCTTTTCCACCGTTGCGTTCAGATTTTTCATGGCATTTTGATATGACGATTCGATATCATCGAAATTTATTTTCATTGGTGATGGACTGTTCAGAGATACTACTCCCGTGGAAGCTGGTGCTGCTGGAGTATCAGGACTTTTTGTGATGACTTTTTTAATTTTGGCCGGGGCCAATGGTGATTTGGAATCATCTTCAAATAAATATTTCTTAATAAGTACACTTGTCCTGCTACTACTGCTGCTGCTAATGGTGGTGTTGTTGGCATTTTGATTTTCTTTGCTTTTTTGGGAATCACTACTTTTGGAAGTGGCATCATCTGTATCAATGTCATCTTCATCTGTGCCAGAATCGATGTAAATGGGATTTATTTTCTTGGCGGGTTTGGTTTTCACGATTTCCGTTTCTGAAACATAAAACAAAGTGTGGGGCATTGGAGACACTCTGACAAAAATCCATGCGTGCGTGACTTCTTACTTACCCTTTTTCTTCTGTGAACATCCCAGAAAGGAGCTCAATGACATTTGTTTGCTTTTGGAGCCAGTGCTGCTGGAGGAGGTTCGTTGTGAGAATGATATTTTACGCGACATGTTATTAATATTTACAAATAACAACACTATACCAGATTAAATTAATTTGTTTAATATAGACAACAACAACACACACGCACAAAATATAAACAAATTATCATCGGAGAGTCCGCGCAAATTTGTTTTAATTTGCGAGACGCCTGCCAAGCGAACACATTTATTATTAATTTAATTTAATTTAATGTTTGATGCTGTTGATGTTGATGCTGTCTAAATCCATTATTGTGAATTGACTTTCTTTATGAGAACGTAAAAAACGTCAAATTATTTGACATTCGACTTGAGAAAAAACTGCTGGCTTTCACTACCAGGGTTGTGAATTCTCCTCACAATCTGAAAACCTAAACAATGTCCACATTATTGTATTTAAATTTTAATTTAATTTTTAATTATTTAATTTGATTTAATTTAATGTTTGATGTTTGATGTGCTGTTGATGCTGGCTGAAGTGAAGCTGAGCTGAAGCTTTTTTTTTCTCCCGCCTTTTTCACCGACAGAAATATTGAAAAACGTTCCACCTGTTACGAATGGGATGGGAAAGTCAAAATGCCCGGTAAAGAAGAAGTCAAAGAAGAAGACGGAAAGTTACGAATGAGGTGGGATGGAGACTAAAAAGGAGTTGGTTTGTTTACGAATGAGGTTTAAGGAAAGGATGAGAGTTGTAGGGTAGTTCACATTCAGAGTTTGCTAATTACAACCCTATAAACCTGAGATGAAAGCAAACGAACCGAGGACCATCCTGGCGAAAGAAGTTGAAAGCAAACGTGACGAGGACAAACCTCGTGTTTACGAATGAGGTCAAAGCAAACGAGACGAGGACCAACCGTGGCGAATGAAAATCAAAACAAACGAGAGGAGGTCCAACCAACAGCTGATCACATATCTGATCAGCTGTTTCATAGACGACACCAATCGGAGTTATTACAAAGTAGATGACTTAAAGGGTTGCTCACATTCAAAGTTTGTAACAAGGCCTAAAGTCGTCCAGCGAGATCAGCAGGATATCAGCTGCCTCATAAGTTTGCTGTCAAAATCCATTATTGTGAATTGACTTCCAATATGAAAACGTAAACAAAAGCCAAATCTTTGACATTAGACTTGAGAAAAAACAGCTGACTTTCGCTAGCGGGGTGAATTTAAGAAAAAATATATTGGTTTTTAAATTAATGTGAGGTGAAAGCAAACGAGCCGATGACCAACCAACAGCAGATCTTGTTTTTCTTTTTCTGTGACGCCGCTTAATAAGCGTTCATCGAGCCAGAATGAGATTTTAGATTTTCGATAAATTGGAGGACCTTTTATATCAGCTGTTTGGTGGACCGTTTATATGTTTTTTATTTATATTTAATCCCTTTGCAATTTATATTTCATGGTTATATAGTATATTCTGTCTGTCTGGTCTACGGAGAATACCTGAGCACCACAGGATCTGGTGGTGCATCTGCTGCAACTCCCTCGTTGTGGTCAAGTTGTTAGTTGTATTTGTGTATTTAATGTACTTTGACTTTAGAAAGAAAATTGCCGAACTTGTGGCTTCAAAAATAAAACTTAATAAAATTCAAAACCTCTGTGTCGGTAGTGTCCTCATCGATGGCCAAGAGCAAACGAACTTTTCTTTACTTTTTATTTGGATTCCTTAGGGCGATTCCTTAGTCAGGACTTAGAAGACAATGTTATCACCCATGATGCAATAATAAGGTGATGTATCACAACAAAAACCTTTGTTTTTGTCTCGACCATCTGTCAAATTTTTCTTTATAATATTTCAAATGATTGGCAACACTGCACATCGAATTCAAGTAGGAATTGCCCACTTTGACAGTTAAACGAGACATCAACTGCGCTAAATGGACTACCTATTCATTGTACCATGGGACACCTATTTATTGTGTCGTTTTTTCGATTTATCGAAAATCGATAACATACATTCTTGGCCTGTTTTATAATAACCGGCCACGACCAGAGACGTCGACCGACATCCTTATCAGTTGGATTCCAATAAGAAAACATGACCTTTTTAATATCCACCTTGGGTCGCTGTTCCACCCGCCCAGCAACATTGCATCAAATTAACCGATTATGTAAAGCCAACTACTCAGTTGCTGCCACCGGACAGGAGGTGCTTGTGGAAAGGTTAACTGGCGAACAAAAAGGTATTACCGTTTTGGGATTAAATCGCCCAGAGGCCAAAAATGCCTTCAGTCGTGGATTGGTGCAAACCTTCTCGAATATCCTCAATGAAATTAAGCGGGACAATGGTTCTCGTGTTGTCGTCCTGAGAAGTCTTACACCGGGCATTTTTTGTGCCGGTGCTGATTTGAAGGAACGCAAAGGTATGACCGAGGAGGAGGTGAAGGAATTCGTCACGGGCCTCAGACAATTGTTGATTTCGATTGAACAGCTGCCAATGCCGGTTATTGCAGCTTTGGATGGTGCCGCCTTGGGTGGCGGTTTGGAAATGGCTTTGGCTTGTGATATACGCACGGCCGCCAATACAACCAAAATGGGTTTGGTTGAAACGAAATTGGCCATTATTCCCGGTGCTGGTGGTACTCAACGTTTGCCACGTATTCTGTCGCCATCCTTGGCAAAGGAATTGATATTCACCGCCAGGGTGTTCAATGGTGAGGAAGCCAAAGAAATGGGTATTGTTAATCATGTTGTACCGCAAAATGAAACCAAGGATGCTGCCTATCGCAAGGCTTTGACATTGGCTGAGGAAATTTTGCCCAATGGACCGGTTGGTGTACGCATGGCCAAGCTGGCAATTGATAAGGGTATGCAGGTGGATTTAAGCACTGGCTATTCCATTGAGGAGGTATGCTATGCCCAGGTTATTCCCACCAAAGATCGTTTGGAGGGTCTTAAAGCTTTTGCTGAGAAACGTAAACCTGTCTATAAGGGAGAATAAAAAAATTTTGATGAGAAAGAAGATTTAAAATTTTCTGAACAAAATAAAAGTGCATTTATTAATTGTTATTTATATTGAATATATTTTTGTTACAACGAATAAAATTCGTTGCTTATTTTTGGGTAAAATAAAACTATAATTATTACTACATATGTATTAAGTTTGTAATATTAGTTTATTTAAATCCCATGTGGATTAATTGCATTTATGGTAAATCTTCTTTTTGGCAGTCCAATTTTTAGAACATAACAAAAAGAGAGTATTTTTTCAGAAGAGAGAAAAAGAGAGATAACTAGTCTAAACATTATAATATAATAATTTTTGGCTTTAAAATTCATAGATGCTTTTCAGAGCATTGTGCTGGCTGGCTGGCTGCCTCTGTCTAAAGTTCCACAATTTTGGAATGCTATAAATGTAAGTCATTTGAATTTTGTTTAATGTCACTTTTCAATTGCGTATCACTCCAGCACCCACACCACCACTATGGGCACACATAGACGGCACAAATGACCAGATATCTGTCTCCGGATCATATACTTCAACGGTGGAGAGATTCGTCTCACCATCATAACCACCAATTGCCCACAATTTACCCATATTTGCAGCCAATGCTACACGACTACGTTTACAGTTCATCGATGTCACCAATGACCATGAATCCTTGATGGGGTCATATACTTCGACCGAACGTAAAAATGAATTACCATCATAACCACCACAGGCATATAGTTTGCCATTTAAGGCGGCCACCCCGAGACGACAACGACGATTAAGCATCGGTTTCATTTTTTGCCAGACATCATTAATCGGATCATAACGTTCAACGGAATCGAAAATGGATAGACCATCATGACCACCCAAGGCATAGACATATTTATCTAGGGCAGCAACACCACCGGCCGAACGATATTTCATCATGGAGGCAACCTGCAGAAGAAGGTACGAGAGGAGGTGACTTTTTAATGAAAACCAAAAATTCTTATTTTTTACTTACAGTCTTCCATTCATCGTTTTTGGGACAATAACACTCTACCGTATTAAGTGAGGTAACGCCATCATAACCACCACATACATAAATGCAATCATTGAGGGCAGCAACACCAACAGCACTAAAATGAAAGAAGGATTACGGAATTTTAGAAGATGATGTTCGTCTCTGTACTTACCTCCTTTTACATTTCATTGCACTACCTTGAGACCATTTATTTTCGCGGGGATCATAAACCTCCACGGTGGATAAACGTTCGGAACCATTGAAACCACCAAAGGCATACAATTTGCCATCCATTACGGCCACACCAACACGAGATCTGGAATTGTTGAATAATTCGAAATGTTAACAGCGGAACTTCTTCTGTAAGATAGGAGTCGATCTTCTTTATAATACACACTACAGTCTAAAAGAGTACTTGACGACAGATTGGAAGACTGTCCTTGTATGATATTAACGAACTCCTAAAAGTAGTACAGAGAAGAATTTTTCTGGCCGAGAAATCATATCCCGAAGTGTGTACTGCTTTTCATCTTACCTCATCATGGACATTTGTTCACCCATACGCCATTTTTGGGTAATTGGATCATAAATTTCCACTGTGCTCACAGATTCGCCATTACTGGCCAGACCACCAACAGCATAGATTTGGCCACATATAAATTCACCACGATGGCGGGTTCTACGGGAAAAAGAAAATAACTAATGACAATCAATAATAAACCTCTCTTGTTTCACACCCACCTAAAACTCTGCAGCAGACCCCTTCTTTCGGGCATTAAATGAAAATCTTTCGCCTCATCCAATAGATCACGACATTGATGCGATGAACGTATCAGTTCTTCACGTGCCACCCGATCGGCCAGAAATTGTGGTGTCAACAGTGGCAAGCGTACCTGTGACAGCACTTGCGGAAACAATTCCACACGTTTCGCTTCCGAGTATTTCACCCATTTCATACAGGCCTCAAATACCACCTCTTCCGATTTAACATTCAAATAATCACTCTTTATCAATTCTATTAATTCATCAAATTCCAAATTCAAAAACTCTTCGGATTGTGAGACTTTGGCGAAGTTCTGATCGATATATTTGTCGGCAGCTTTTATCAGATGCTGACAACTCATGGAATCGGCAAAATGCCGTATCCCCAAAACGTTGTGTGGATGAAAGCGGGATATCAAAAACTCCGCACAAGCCTTACGCACCTTTAGCAATTGAAGGAACGAGGCGCCCATCATGAGGCTTTGGACATTTTGATTATCGATGCGTACTTGACCGCTGTACGCAAAGTTGATCAAACTCTCCAAGGCCGATGGTTCGATTTCTTTCATGGTGATCTCTTTGATGCGACTCTCGGCCATGTTGTTGGTGAACATGGCATAGAAATAGGGTATGGTGGCGGCCAGTACAATGCGATGGGCCGAAAATGTTTGATCTTCCACCTTGAAATGAGAAAACAAAGAAGTAATATGATTTATTGTATTCAAAAAAAAAGTTGGAATATAAAAGGTGTATGCATGGGCATGTATATTATAACTCGCCTTCAATGTCACATCACATAATTTCCCCATACGTCGTATCTCCTTGAAAACGGGAAAACTTTCGCTGAACAATTCATCGTGTTTGTAAAGGATAAACTTTTGATCATCGTCAATAGCTTCACTCAGTGCCTCCTTTAACGCCATGAGTAAGCAGCAATTCTAAAATCTTCGGTTCGGTGTTTTTTCCAGCAGCTTTTTTAATTAGTCACTCTGATGAAAAAATACACTGTCCCTGTGTCCAGTCTAGCTAGTAAATTACAACCCTGTAAACTTTCCTTTCTCTGTGAACCTACCAAAATGAAAAACGTTCCATCTGCTAACAAATAGGCAGAACAAAAGGGGAATACCTGATAAAGAAGAAAGTCAAAGCAAAATGGTGGTAAAAGACCATTTGTTTACGAATGAGGTGTGATGTATATACCCCTTGTTTGCGAAAGGGACATAAGAGACAGCTCGTTAATGTCGATAGTATTCGTATCGTTATAATCGATAATTTTTTGTATTCTAATTGCCAGCTGTGACACAGTGGTACAAAACAAGTTTATTTTCTATATATGGGGAAAAATGGAAATTTGTATGTTTTTCTATCATCCAGAGTTATGGGGGCTCCAAAATGTCTGTTTTCGACTTTAAATTTAATCTAATTTTGAAATGATACAATCTGTTTGGACCGCATTGATCGCGGACGAAGATATTGTTATAGTGAAACTTATTTGGTGGTACAGTTTTGGTTTAGCTGCCTTGCATAATACATAAAATGTATTACAAATTATATTAGTAATACATTTTATGTTCTATGTTTGTAATTTGCAACCTCTGAATGTGAGCTACCCTTTATCTTGTCATCTGCTTTGTAATAACGCCACTTGGTGCCGTCTGTGAAACAGCTGATCGAATATGTGATGTCCTCGGCTCGTTTGTTTTGAACCTCATTCGCCACGGTTGGTCCTCGTCTCGTTCGCTTTGACCTCGTTCGTAAACATGATATTTGTCCTCGTCTCGTTTGCTTTCAATTTCATTCGCCACAGTTGGTTCTCTTCTCGTTTGTTTTAAGCTCTCTTTACAGAGTTGTAATTTGCAAACTAAAGAATGTGAGCTACCCTCAAACTCTGTGTAATCTTGCTGGCTGGTAGAGTTGTTCTATCTATTCTATCTATTCTATCTAATTCAGTTGGCTGATCGCTCTTTTTAGTTCAGCTCTTTTGACTGAACTAGTTCGGTCTTCTAGTTCAGTAGTTCAATCGTTCGCAATTAAGCTCTTTTATTCAACTGTCGTTTTACTTCGGTCATTCTTTTAATAGTTCATCGCTCTCCGATCCGTTCAGTTGATAGTTTGATTTCTTGTAAGATACTTTTGGACCTATATGGCGAGGATATTAAAATGAAGAAATAAGAACAGTTTACGGACCTATAAGGTGTGGATTTTTAAATAAATGTTTCAAAAGATTTAATGGACTATAGGGACTTATAGAATTGATGGACTTATAGAATAAAAAAATGTTCCAAAGAAAATAAGGCGTAGATTTTTAAAGAAAAGTTTTAGAACAATTGAAAAATTACTTGCCAACATATATATTTTTATTAGTGTTTACTAAATGGGGGCGCTGTAATATCACATGCAAAATAAAACTCGATCGGTGTCGCTTCCAAATCAATCTATGTCAGTAAAACGCTCACATCTGAACTAAAAGGAACGATTGCTCCAGTTCGTTCTTTTAATGAACTAAAAAGAACGAATTTGTAAGACCTAGTTCAATCGGTCTTTTAAGTGAATCGTTCATTTGAACTAGTTCGTTCGTGAACTGTACAACTCTACTGGCTGGGCTAAACAGAGGACGCATTGTTGATAAAAATGCGTATGTGAGTTCAATTATCCCCGAAAATCTTATAAATATCTTTTGAAACTGTTGCTAACCGTATATTTCTTTGTTCCCCAATTAGGCGTAGTAATTTTAAGAATCCTGATGATCCATCAGATGGTTCAGAGATTGACGAAGTCACCGACGCTGTACTGGAAGATGATGTCGAGTTAATGATCAATGCACGTGGTGTAGATTGGAGTGATGATGACGATGATATTGAAGACGCTGCAGAGGGTGATCCTGCCTATGATATCGGCGATGAAGATACCGATAGTGATGATAGTTCGGGATTTGATCCAATGGCCACAGATTCGGATGATTCCATGAGTGATGGTGAAACTGGCGGTGGTGGTGATAAACAAAACAATACCTCTGCAACAGCGGCGGCGGGAAGTAGTTCCACAACCAACAAAACTTCAAATCGTAATGAGGATGAAGGTGGTGGCGGTGGTGGTGAGGATGAAGAACCCAGATCTTCTGTCCTAGAATTAGATGAAAACGAGGAGGACGATGAAACAGTCAAAGCCATAATTGCAGCCATTAAAAAGCCGCGAACCTCTCCCCCCGAAATAAAACTAGAAGACTTTGTTACCGACATCTGTTTTCACCCGGAGCGGGATATTATTGCCATTGCCACTATCACCGGTGATGTGGCATTGTACGAGTATTCCAATGATGGCAATAAACATCTGCGAACCATTGAGGTACATGCCAAGGCTTGTCGTGATGTTGAATTTTCCACAGATGGCCGTAATGTGTTGACCTGTTCCAAAGATAAATCCATTATGATTACGGACATGGAAACGGAAAAACTAAAGAAATTCTATGAAAGTGCCCACGATGAGCCCATCAATAAGCTGCATGTTATTGACGAAAACATATTTGCCACTGGAGATGATAGTGGCACGGTGAAATTGTGGGATTTAAGAACCAAAAATGAAATATTTGCCCTGAAAGAGGTGGAAGACTACGTTACCCAAATGCTTACCAATGAGTCGGGCAAATTATTACTGGTCACCAGTGGTGATGGTTATTTGACGACAATAAATATTGGTGCCCGCAAGCTATATGTACAATCAGAACCCTACGAGGAGGAACTTACCTGCATGGGTACCTATAGAGGCGATTCAAAATTGGTTGTGGGTACATCAAAGGGTAATTTGTACACCTTTAATTGGGGACAATTTGGTTATCACAGCGATAAATTTCCCGGTGTCAAATCTTCAATGTCCGAAATGATACCCATCACGGATCGCATTGCCTGTGTCGCCGGTGAAGAGGGTATAATACGGGCTGTACATATTGCACCATTCAGGAATCTGGGTATTGTCGGTCAGCACAGTATGCCCGTTGAATCGTTGGATGTCAGCAACTCAGGAGAGCTTATAGCCTCGTCATCACACAATAATGATGTACGCTTTTGGAACGTGAAATATTTCGAAGAATTCGGTGATATTAAATACAATGAGAAACACAACAGCTACAAGGAGAAACGACACAATCTACCATCGTCAAAGTTTTCAAATGCATCGGATTTCTTTTCCGATTTGGCCAAGGAGGATAATGGTGGTGATGAATAGTTTATAAGGCTTAATTACTGTGTTGAACGTTGGGGAGGGAATAAGAATGTTCCACGTTGTAAAAATAAAAAAAAAACAATAACAAAAACAAACAGGATAAAAACTCTATTTATCACATTTTTTTACCCATGACCCCCTCTTTTAATTGTTTTCATTTGAAAAAAAGAATTAAAAAAAAAACTTGAAAAATAAAATCTAAAGATATTTAGAATGTAACAAATTGGGGAAGTTTTTTTCTTGCATAGAATAAATGTCGTCGATTACAGGTGGTGTTGTATAATGACATGTTTGGGGTCGTTTTTACGGTCGTCTTTAATAAATTTGGTGACTTTTTGTACCTCATAGAATTACGTTTATTATAAAAAATTCACCAAACTCCTTATGGTCGACAATAAAGACGACTTTCTGTTCGATATAAAGACTAAATTGAAATCATCTGCAAAGAATCATTTTGGAATATATAAAAATTGAATCATCTAAATGGCCACAGATTTAGATGATTCAATAATGCGTGATTATGAACAATAAGGACGGCACTAAGGCTATCGGTAAATGTCGTGTATAAAAATCTATAAAATGATTTTCAGTCGGTCTATAAAGATGACATTAATTGAGATCATATATATTTGGTCTGTAAAGGCAAAATTAATTGAGGTCCTATAAAGAAATCCGACTTAAAAATAATTTGAGGTTAGATTCACAGATATTTAAAAATAAATTATAGTATATCCCTATCCCTCAAATCATTATGAAAAAAATCCACACATTTACAATTTTTTGTACAAATTTCTTTATTAAATTTTCTTTAATCGTTTTAATGAAAATATTTGTTATATCTTTTTTTTATAGCAGAGCAAACAAGTACTTGATTTGAGTGTTTTAGCGATTTGGGGTTTCATTAAAAAATATTAATGGAAAGAAAATATATAAAAAGAAAAAGAAATTTAAATAAATTAATTACTTTTCGGGGAGGAGGGTTTTCATATAGGACGATTGTGTGTGTGCTGATATTAAATATTGCATGATCATACGTTAAATAATATTTGAACTCAACTGTACAAAATTACAGCCAATTCGGTTGAAAAAGTGGCACAAAATTTCCAAAATATGAAATATTTGGGATTACCGTTATATGGGGTCAATCCTCAAAAGTGAACCGATATCGATAATTTTTGGTAGGGAGATTTGCCACCCAGTGAGAACTCAATGTACCAAATTACAGCCAATTCGGTTAAAAAGTGGCACAAAATCTCCAAAATACGGAATATTTGGGGGTTGTGTTATATGGGAACCATCCTTAAAAGTGGATCGATAATTTTTGGTAGGGAGATTTGCTACCAAATACAGCCAATTCAGTAGAAAAACGTGCCACAATATTTGGCCTATACCAAAAGTGAACCGATATCGGTAATTTTTGGAGGACGTCGCAAAGGACTACTCTATTGAGGATCGGATTTTTTTTTTTTTTTTTTACAAAAATATGGGCTTTAGTTATCTTTTTTACAGAAACAGGACTCTACAGAAGGCCTCTTTAAGATATTCTATAAAAGTTCCAAGGGGTCCTAAAACTTTTCAAAGGTCTTCAATAGATAGAAGAATTTTCCCAAGGGTCTATAGATTTTAAAATATCGAAGAGGTCTCCGATACATACAAGACATGCTGCCGCAGGTCGTCTATGTGTAAAAGACATCCAAAAGATGTCATCTGGTCCAATAGACTTTTATAGATAGAATTCTTCTAAAAAAATTCTTCTATAAAAAAATCCTCTCAAAGGACTTCTGTTGATAAAATATTCCTTCCCAAGAACTATCTAACGAGATAAAGGACGTCCTGAAGAAACAAGCCTTTACAGAAGGCCTCCAAAAGATTTTCTATAGAAGTTATAAGGGGACCTAAAACTTTTCAAAGGTCTTAGATAGAAGACATCCCAAAGGTCTACAGATATAAAATTTCGAAGAGGTCTCCGATATATACAAGACATGCCACAGTTCGTCTATGTGTAAAAGTGTCTCTGGACCTCCACAGAAGTTTCCACGTGTAAGAGAACTTTTAATGGACTTTTATAGATAGAAGACCTCTTAAAATTCGTCTATAAAAAAATTCTCTCAAAGGACTTATGATTACAAACAAATATTCAAAAGATGTTCCAGAGATGAAGGACGTCCCAAAAGAACCACCCTATTGAGCATCGATTTATTTTTTTACAAGAATATTAGAAGTCATCCCAAAGGTCTAAAGATACAAAATCTCGAAGAGGTCTCCCATACATACAAGACATGTCGCAGTTCGTGTATATGTAGAAGATGTCCAACGTTGTCTTATGGACCTCCAAAAAGTGTTCATAGGTAGAAGACCTTTCAATGGTCTTTCGTAGACACAAGACACCTTAAATTTCTTTTATAAAATATTCCTCTCCAGGGACTTCTGATGATAAAAGACTCCTTCCAAAGAACTAGCCGAGATAAAGGACGTCCCAAAGGACTACTTCTATTGAGGATCGATTTGTTATTTCTTTTACAAAAATATGGGCTTTAGTTATCGTTTTATATATATATATATATATAAGATCCCTTTTATTTATATTTTTATTTAATTATGAAATCTTTTATCCCTCCCTGAAGATCTTCTAGAGAAAAATTTTCAAATTGGATCCACATTTTATATATATGTATATTCTGTATATGGAATTTATTTGAAGATCTGTTTCTAGGATTACAAAATATATGTATGTATATTACTTTTCAATTGTATAGGTATGATTGTAGGTGTTTTTTTTTTATATTTCATTAAATAAATATTTATAATAATAAATTATAACAAAACAATAATATTAATAATAAAGATATAAATTGCGACATCAATAAAAAAGGGGAAATAAATATTAGTATTGCAAAAGAAAAAATTATATTTTTTGAAATTTCAAATACATTTAATGTTATTTGCACTTGTTTGCATGGTGTTTTGTTTGTTTGATTTTTTAATACATATTGCTGTTAAAAATTTTATTCGATTTATATACAAGATTAATAGTTTATTTTATATATATATATTCTATACTAATAATAATATTATAATAATAATTATTAAAAAAAACTGTGTGCCGTTGCATGTATATGTAATTGTGTATGTGTATTTTGTGTTTCGTAAGGAGAGTACCTCCACTTGCTTCGTTATTGTATTCGTATTATTGTGTGTTTTTTTTTCAAATTTTTGTAGGAAGATACAAAGATTGTGTGGAAGTTAATAAGGCAACAGTAATATATAAAAATCCAACGAAATTTGTAAAACTGAATACAGCTATATTCAGAACATTTTGAGAAGAAATATATTGCTCAAAAAATTCAAAATTTAGTACCGTTTTTAATATTTAATAACGCTTTAATTTTTCGATTTTTAATTTACTAGAATTTTTTGAGAACCTTTTTTTCCCCATTTAGAACTGGGGTTGTTGCCTTGAGGTGGAGGAGTTTGAAAATATTAGATAAAATATTTAGTTATTGTGATTGACATGGAGGGAGGGGATAGCATCTTAGTAGGGAGGAAGAACAATAATCTATGGAAAGGACAATTTTAAAATTTTTGAAGTTAAAGAAAAGCCTATTTCTGTAAAAAAAAGTTGGAAACCTAGGATGGTCTAGAAGATAAAAAAACATCTAAAAAGGTAATCTAAAGATAGAATGCTTCCAAAAGATTTTCTATAGAAGTTATAATATATACAGAAGTCCTTCAATGGGGACTTCTGACAAATTATCAAAGGTTTCACAATAATCTATGGAAAGGACAATTTTAATATTTCCAAATAAGTTCAAAACCTAGGAAGGTCTAGAAGACAGAAGACCTCTTAAAAGATCATCTATATATCGAATGCTTCCACACGATTTTCTATTACAAAAGAAGTCCTTCAACATAACCCAAAAAAGAAGTCCTTCAAATGGGACTTCTGACAAATTTTCAAAGGAAGTGGTGCCAAAAGGTCTTCCTAAAAATCAATGATATTCAAAAGGTCTTCTATAGAGAGGAGATATATCTTCAAAAAAAAAAAAGATCTAAAATGAGATACAAGACCTGATAAATGGTCTTCTCTAAGAATAGAACCTACCAAGGATTATGTATATAAAGAAGATCTTCTATAGAAGTTCCTAAACATTTCGAAGAGGTCTCCCATACGTATAAGACATGTCACATGTGGCCTATATGTAGAAGACGTCCAAAAGGTGTCTTTTGGACCTTCACAGAAGTTTCCACGTGTAAGAGAAGAAGAGAGAACGGACCTCTTAAAATTCTTCTATAAAAAAATACTCTCAAAAGACTTCTGATGACAAACAAATATTCCAAAGATCTTCCAGAGATAATGGACGTCCCAAACGACTAATTCTATTGAGGATTTTTTTTAAAAAAAATATGGGCTTCAGTTTTCGATTTTTTTTCCTAAAACTTTTCCAAGGTCTTCAATAGATAGAAGACATCCCAAAGGTCTACAGATATTTCCTCGTGCAGGAGAACTTTCAATGGACTTTTATAAATAGAAGACCTCTTAAAATTCTTCTATAAATAAAAGTCCACTCAAAGGACTTCTGATGAAAATATCCTTTCAAAGAACTTCCAGAGATAAAGGTCGTCCATAATAACTACTTCTACTGTGATCGAATTGTTTTTTTTTTTTACAAAAAACATGGGCTTTAGTTTTCGACTTTTTTTACAGAAACAGGCCTCTATAGAAGATCTTCAAAAGATATTCAATATATGTTCTAAGGGGTCCTAAAACTTTTCAAAAGTCTTCAATATATAGAAGACATTCCAAAGGTTTACTACAATACACAAAATTTCGAAGATGTCTCCTATACAGACAAGACATGATTACATAAAGACGTCCAAAAGGTGTCTTCTGGACCTCCAAAATGTTTCCATATGTAGAAGTCCTTTGAATGGACTTTTATAGATAGAAGACCTCTTCAAATTCTCCTCTCAAAGGATATGATGATGATAAACAAATTTCCCAAAAGAACAACTTCTATAGAGGACCGATTGGTTTGTTTTTTTTTTACAAAAACATGGACTTTAGTTATCGTTTTTTTTTTTACAGAAACAGGCCTCTTTTGTGTTTTTTTCCTTTTGCTTGGCAAATAAATATACATTATATATACGTATGTATATAAAGATTAAATATATGTTCTTCTCGTTTTTTTAGAAAAAAAAAATTAATAAATAAATTACAAGCAGTAAAGATATTTTATATAAAGACCAAAGATTTGAAACAAACAAAAATGGAAATTCTTGGGAAATTTAAGAAAAAAGTAAATCTCCGGGTTAAAGAATAACAAATTATTTGACAATTTGTGTCTGTGTGTTTGTTTCGTGTCTCTGTGTATGTTAGGGTTTTTAAACGCTCAGCGTTTTCTTGTTTTTGTTTTTGTGTCGTTCGTGTTAACTTAAAAAAATGTTTATTATGTATGATAATTATTAGTGGTGGTAACACTAACACTACCATTGCCATTACTATTATTGCCATTAGATCCAATAACTCCATCGAATTTTGTTGTAGATGTTGCTACAATAACACTAGGCCCACCACCGCCGCCATTACTCGTGATCGCTGTAGCAGCCGCACCATTACTATATTCATATCCAACAGCTCCCGCTCCCGCTGCCATACTACTGCTAATACTATTATCATCGTCATTATCCCCGCCAATATTCACCACAGTGACACTACCACTGGTTATATTTGTTGGACTTGTGGTGCGACTGCGTGTAAATGTGTTATTCTGCGAATTCGATGCACTTCGGGTCATTGTAGTTGTGGGCGTTGTTGTTGTACTGGAAGCAGCTGCAACCACAACTGGTGTCATTACTGTTACGGAAGACGATGCGGCCGCCGAAGCTGTCCTAGATGCTGCAGCAGCAGCTTGTGCCTCTTGCAAGGCTTTCTGCTTGGCCCTTCGCGCCTTTTGCCGGGTATGTTCTATTTGAAAATCTTCGACACGTAAATTCAAGCGCTGCATATGATTTATAATGAAGTCTTCATCTAGCACATTATCGGGCGGACTTCGTAGCACTTCGAGGGTTTCGCACAGACCATTACATTGTTTGCGCACTTTATGGCTATTCAGCGAAGCACCTAATATCACCAGAGCTACTTTAAATATGACACGTATACCTTCGGCGAGGAAACAATCCCATACACGCAACAACGTTTCCCAGGGAAGCGTTCGGGTCATGGCACACAAAAACCAATCGGTCATATAGAGCAACGGTTCGACACGATGTTTTTGTAAATGACGATAGACGGGCGGACAGGTTTTCTTGAGGAGACCTTCTAAAATACCGGCATCATTTTGTAGGACCTCTAGGCCGGTAATAAAGTAATCTTCTAAATATCTGGAAAAATAATAACAAGAAAAGAATAAGTGGTTAGTTTTCTATATATAATGGGTCTTCCGGAAAAAATGAACTCTTATTAACGGTCGGTCATATAGACAAAAAATCCTGACAAAGGTCCAAAGGTAAAAAACTCAAAAGCCTTTAAACAAATCCATATCAAAGTTCTTCTAAGGAAGAAGAGGGAAGTTTTCGAAGGTCCTCCATAAATAGATGTAATGCCTAAAGGCATTTTCCAGAGAAATAATAACTTCCAAAGGTCTTCTGAATACCTCTCAAAATTCACCTAAGACAAAAAATCTCACAAAGTTCTTCTACAGCTAGAGTACCTCCCACAAATCTGTTTTAGATAGAAGGATCTACTAATAGTCTAACAAAGGTATTCCATAGGTGGTGGTCCACCACGAGGCTTCTATAGATAGTATTATCTTCTAAAAGTAAAGACTTCTATGGATAGAATGAGAAATTTCATTGGGAAATTTTTAATTCCGCCTGGCTGAATATAAATTCCAATGTGAAACTTTCCATTCAGCCTGGCTGAATAGAAATTTCAATAGGAAATTATTCATTCAGCCTTGGTGAATAGAAATTTCAATAGGAAATTTTTCATTCAGCCTGGCTGAATAGAAATTTCAATAGGAAATTTTTCATTCAGCCTGGCTGAATAGAAATTTCAATAGGAAATTTTTCATTCAGCCTGGCTGAATAGAAATTTCAATAGGAAATTTTTCATTCAGCCTGGCTGAATAGAAATTTCAATAGGAAATTTTTCATTCAGCCTGGCTGAATTGAAATTTCATTGAGAAAATTTTCATTCAGCCTGGCTGAATAAAAATTTCAAAGGCAAATTTTTCATTCAGCCTAGCTGAATAGAAATTTCAAAGGGAAATTTTTCATTCAGCCTGGCTGAATAGAAATTTCATTGTGAAATTGTTGATACAGCCTGGCTGAATAGAAATTTAATTTGGAAATTTTTGATACACCCTTGCCTGGCTGAATTTTCAAAAGAATTTTTTTATTTTTGTTGATACTTACACATCACATACGCTAACAAATACCCAAAATGCATCTTCCGCCGGCAAATGCATTAATAGGAAAGCTGCAATTGGTGCCTGTGCTTGACAGAATCCCACCTTCGGATTATATATGGAATAGGCTTTCAGAACATTAAACAATTCAATTTGGCCCACTTTATCCTCGTCCAAAAACATTTCATGAAATGGGAATTGTCGATGTTTGTCTTTTTTGATTTCCTCGATGACATGAGGATTTCCAGGCTTCTCCAGCAGTTCGGCATATAAATTGGGATTTTTCTTTTTCAGCAAATAGGCACCGGATAGAAAGAACCATGCTCGGGGTCTTATCGATTTGGGTATACCTTTGCGACAGCGGTCTCTTATCTGGAAGAAGAAGAGAAGTCTTTAATAAATATAATAGAGAAAAATTGGAAATACTGGTCCTACCTTTTTATAATTTTTAGACATATACAGTGACCAGTTATCCAACATGTATAACCATTTCTTTTCTCGTGCTATAATTTGTGCTTTCGATAGCGGCTCTTTGGGCTTATCTGTGCGTTGAAATCCACCATAGAAACCATTGCGATCCGGACAACTCGATACTGTGGAACATAATGATATTGTATCGGCGGAACGTGGTGAGGTGGCCATGGCAATCTAATGGGAATAACACAAAACAAATTAAGAAAATATAGTTCAAGTTTAAGTTTAGTTGGCGTAACGATGTGAACAAATTTATTAGCAATCATTTGGGGTTATAATTAATAAATAAATATATGGAAGTGTTAATTGATTGGATAAACGAGAAATAATTCAATTGGAATGTAAATATCAGTTAGATTTTATATGATCTTGAGAGGAGTTAGGATTTTTTTTTTTGGAAACTTGTATTCAGCCAGGCTGAATGACAAATTTCCTACGGAAACATGTATTCAGCTAGGCTGAATGACAATTTCCTACGGAAACATGTATTCAGCCAGGCTGAATGACAAATTTCTTACGGAAACATGTATTCAGCCAGGCAGAATGACAAATTTCCAGCGGAAACATGTATTCAGCCTGGCTGAATGACAAATTTCCTATGGAAATATGTATTCAGCCAGGCTGAATGACAAATTTCCTATGGAAACATGTATTCAGCCAGGTTGAATGACAAGTGTCCCATGAAAACTTCAATATAGCCAAGCTGAATGAAAAATTTCCTATGGAAACATGTATTCAGCCAAGCAGAAGGACAAATTCCTAATTGAATTTTGTATTCTGTAAGGCTGAATGACAACTTTTCTATGGAAACTTGTATTCAGCTGAGCTGAATTAATATATTTCCCTTGAAATTAAGTCTTTATTGAAACTTCTTGCATTTAGTGTACAATTTTTTTTTAAATCTTATCAGCCTAGATAAGATTAGGCAATATATTTTAGAATTTCTTGGCATAAATACTAAGCCGGTTAAGGTCACTGCTATAAATATTTGATAAAAAATAACAACAACAACCAAATTGTTTATAATCGCTATTACACAGCAAGCCAATGTGATTACACACTAAATTGCCAAAACGTAGGCCCAAAAAATAGTATTGGAAATTCGAATGCAAATGTCAATACGACATTACGTTGCGTTGTTTGTTTAGTCGGTGGTACTCCCCCTTCTACCCCACAAAACACTATTGCGGACACGAACCTTATTGGGAGAAATGTATGTATGTATGTGTGTGTGCGTGTTTCAGTGTATTGGCACATTTGTTTATTTTGAAAATAAAAAGACTGAAGAAAAAAATCAAAGTCATTAGAGGTATATTATTGGAGGGCGGATCGATTTTAATTTTATTAAACACAATATTATTATTACATATTAACAAATGGACGTGATGGACATTTATGGAAGCGAGTTATTTTATTTTCATTTCACTTGGAATATAAGTAAGAATTCTGGGAATTTTTCAACCTGATAGTGTCGAGGTCTTTAGGCTTTAGTTTAACACTTTTGTTTAAAGATCCAATCTTATCTTTGATATGATTTCAAAATAGGTATAAATTGTGTTTCCTTAACACCCCTACCACCCTACCTGGTATGCTGTTGATTATTTTAGATATTATTTTCTTATTCGACTCTATGTTCTTGGCAAAAATGAATCATCAGTCAAGACATTTCACACTAAGGTTTTATACAATAGATAGTGGCGTCTTTGCTTGACGTCTCTCTTTCTCTCGTGTGTCAATATCAGGTAGTTATTACTGATAGCAAAAAACATAGGGAGGAACAAAATAATGTTTACATAGAATACAATATCCAATCTTTTTGATAAAATATCATAATTGAGCCTGGCTGAATACATGTTTTCATAGGAAATTTGCTATTCAGCCTGGCTGAATACATGTTTCCATAGGAAATTTGCTATTCAGCCTGGCTGAATACATGTTTCCATAGGAAATTTGCTATTCAGCCTGGCTGAATACATGTTTCCATAGGAAATTTGCTATTCAGCCTGGCTGAATACATGTTTCCATAGGAAATTTGCTATTCAGCCTGGCTGAATACATGTTTCCATAGGAAATTTGCTATTCAGCCTGGCTGAATACATGTTTCCATGGGAAATTTGCTATTCAGCCTGGCTGAATACATGTTTCCACAGGAAATTTGCTATTCAGCCTGGCTGAATACAATGAATGATAAATTTCCTATTAAATTTGCTATTCAGCCTGGCTGAATACATGTTTCCATAGAAAATTTGCTATTCAGCCCGGCTGAGTACATGTTTCCATAAAAAATTTGATATTCAGCCTGGCTGAATACATGTTTCCATAGAAAATTTGCTATTCAGCCTGGCTGAATACATGTTTCCATAGGAAATTTGCTATTCAGCCTGGCTGAGTACATGTTTCCATAAAAAATTTGCTATTCAGCCTGGCTGAATACATGTTTCCATTGGAAATTTGCTATCCAGCCTGGATGAATACATGTTTCCATAGGCTGAATACATGTTTCCATAGGAAATTTGCTATTCAGCCTGGTTGAATGCATGTTTCCATAGGAAATTTGCTATTCAGCCAGGCTAAATACATGTTTCCATAGGAAATTTGCTATTCAGCCAGGCTGAATACATGATTCCATAGGAAATTTATCATTCAGCCTGGCTGAATAAATATTTCCATAGGAAATTTATCATTCAGCCTGGCTGAATACATATATCCATAGGAAATTTGTCATTCAGCCGGGCTGAACATAATTTTCTTTAAGATTTTTTTCATTCAGCCTAGCTGAATAGAATATTTTCTATTAAATTTCAATTTTTTGACATCTGTTTTCCTTTATTCTCGAAGAAAAATGGTTGGAGACATAAAACATAAATGAAAACAAAATTTCAATCATGTCAAAAAATTAACATATGAAGATGATGTATGTACTTGTCAGTAGCTGATGTTCAGCTGACACACAAAATGTGTGTTTGAGTATTTTTTTTTTGTATGGTTAAATTGTTTTACAACAACAACAATAATAATAATATGCTATGGAACCAGAAAATGATGACCGCACAAATTATTCATCAGTTCTAATTGAAGTACAAATTTGTTGTTTTATTCGACTACTGTGTGTATACGCTGCTTCGTCGCCTACCTTCGTCTGCTTCTTCGTTTCGTTTTCTTTATTTCACATTCTGGCACTTGTTGGGTACTTTTAATTTGTTTTTATCAGAGCTCTCTATTTATTTATTTTTTTGTTGGATATGTTCGGTTTTTTGTTGTTGTTTTTTTTAGTTCTGTAACACTTGCTGCCACACTGGGGCCAAGAGATGGTAAATGGAGGTTTTTTTTATTTATAAACATCTCAATAGGGGATGCTTGTTTGATTGATTGTCGTTATTGTTTGTGCAATAAAATGAATAGTGCATTTCTTAATTTCACCTTTTATGGCATGCAGTACCACATATGCCATTATATAATGAATTAATCACTAAAATTTAAATTCAGCTAGGGCTGAATGATAATTTTCCTAAGGAAACGTGTATTCAGCCGGGCTGAATGACAAATTTCCTATGGAAACATGTATTCAGCCGGGCTGAATGACAAATTTCCTATGGAAACATGTATTCAGCCGGGCTGAATGACAAATTTCCTATGAAAACATGTATTCAGCCGGGCTGAATGAAAAATTTCCTATGGAAACATGTATTCAGCCAGGCTGAATGACAAATTTCCTATGGAAACATGTATTCAGCCGGGCTGAAGGACAAATTTCCTATGGAAACATGTATTCAGCCGGGCTGAATGAACAAATTTCCTATGGAAACATGTATTCAGCCGGGCTGAATGAACAAATTTCCTATGGAAACATGTATTCAGCAGGGCTGAATGACAAATATCCTATGGAAATATGTATCCAGCCAGGCTGAATGACAAATTTCCTATGGAAACATGTATTCAGCGGGGCTGAGTGACAAATTTCCTATGGAAACATGTATTCAGCTAGGCTGAATGAACAAATTTCCTATTTGAAATCGTATTCAGTCATTTAAAATTACTATTTTCCTATTGGAAATTGTTTTTTCTATTACCCTCTTTTTCTCTCTTTCTTAGCTATTCTCTATACTTTTATGGTCGTAAGATGTAATCTTGTTTGAATATGCCCTTGTTAAGTCATTTATAACATTCATAATGTTAATGATTATTTTTTTATGTAGCCACTACCAGGGGTCATTAAACGTTGGCTCGAGCCTAATTAAGAAAAAAAAAAAAACAAATGATCTACCAAAAAAAGCGCCAAATATGGTTCAGACATTTGATGTTGCGTTCTTCTAACCTCCTTAGGGCAAAAGTTGATTTAAATAGAACGGACGGTAGAAATTAATGAATGGAATTCGGATCTTTGATGTTAAAAATAGATATAAAAGGATCGGTAATACAGGGCGTTCCAAAAAATAATAGTTGTAAGATTAGTATTCAATGAGAAATGTATTTTTTTTAAACAAATTCATAAAATTCGGGAAAGGCATATCAGCCAAATTGTAGAACACCAGTACTCATTTCAATATCCAAATTGATACACAAAAGCGACAAACTATGAGCCTGGATGACGCAACTTAGCAAAAGAAATAGAAATTTCCCGGATAAATGAAATTCAGCATTCAGATGCCAAGTTCTGTCGCCAATTAATCGAGCATTCATCTTCGGACAGTTATCCGTAGGTGCAAGCATCTGAAACGAGACTTGAATCCCCTATCATTCTCATCCATTGAGTTAATTATCTACAAAGCTAAGCCCTTGGTCCAGACGGCATCTCTGTGTTCATGTTAAAGAAGTTTTGGTGAAAAAGGTTTTCAAAAAAAAAAAAAAACTTCCAAGATTTCGAATGACTTTCTTCAGCGACGAACCCTAAAAGGACCATTGTGGACCCAAGGCATTCGATATAGTCCTAATATCCTACATAACGAATTCCACTCTTCCGAATGATGTCAAACAAAACCAGTATTGAAAGTAGTCATGTCGGACGGTGCCTACTATATGGGAACTATATCTAAATTTATGCTGTGCAAAATTTAGCGGCAATACGCCTAACTTTGGGTCTTTGGTGCACCATTTACTTAAAATCGGACGAATTTATATATGGGAAACATATCTAAATCTGAATCGATTTCAACAAAATCTCACACATCAATCTAGA